TTTTATAGGTTAAACAACGTGGATGCGTTGAAGAATTCCCAGTGTGTCTGCTGCTATGAAATCTTTAAGGAACATTCCCCTGATGTGCTCTGCGTTTATGGCCAGCCCGCGGAACGGGGCTGAGTCACTGAAGTCAGAAGGGAGATGGGATATATGCTGATCGATTAAAGTACTGTGAGTCTGTAAATACTTCATCTCTCCTATACCATGTATCAGGAAACTAATGCATTAAAAAAAAAAAAGCTGTTTGAGAAGCTTTCAGCAAAGTGGAATAGCGCTGTATTCATCAAGTGTTTGAAATGAACCCTGCTCTTTCTCCAGATGGCAGTTTTATTGCTGCCCTTGTGACCATACTAATCTGATGTTAAATTTTTGATGGCTTACGTAACTTCTTGCTTTAGCCAGATGTGGGTAAGGTTTAAAATAGATCATTGAGATCTGATATGTGTAGCTCCTGGTGTACCCAAGTCACTTGATTTTATAGAGCTGTTGATTTTTAAGTTCTTGTGTTGATTCTTCTTTATTATAATAAGTTCATTTGAACCTGTACAGTATTGTGCTAGAAAGCGCTGAGATGGATGTAACCTAATTTAAAGAGAAGAGTATAACGGATTTTCACATCTCAAAATAAATCTATTGTAAGTATAAAATTGTCTATGTCTGTGACTACTTTGGATGCTGCAACAGAATTGCAAATACCTATGGCTGAAAAGCTTGTGCAGAAAGAACTGTAGCGTATTAGTTCTGATCACTGAAAAGCTTGTGCAGAAAGAACTGTAGCATTATTAGTTCCTTCCCTCCCTAGTGTTTTTCCTCCCTAGTGGGGAGGAGGAGTTTTTCCTCCTCATTTCCCTCCCTAGTGTTTTTATCTCAAAAAAACCCATTTCTTGCTATTGCATAAGGGAGGAAAACATACAGCTCTTAACAAAATATGAAACAGCATGATTTTCCCTCCCTAGTGTTTTTATCTCAAAAAACCCCATTTCTTAACTTGCTATTGCATAAGGGAGGAAAATATGAAAATATGAAACAGCATGAACAGCAGGAAACAACTCGAGCAAATTGCTGGGATCGATGCAAATGGGGAGTTGAAGGTCTTTTGCAAATAGCCAACATTTGCGCTGTTGGAAACTGCAAGAGATGCATGAAAACCTCTGAGCAGCCAAAATGGTGTCTCCTTATGGCATGGTCTTCCTGCTGAGGAAATTAAAGCGTTGGTCACTTTGGCACTGCCCAGTTGGAAGGAAGTCTCCAAGCCGTTTTGGACCAATCTGCCAACCTTGGTGTAGAGAAAGATTTTTATTTTTTATTTCCACTGTTCAAGCCAGAATCTTTGGAGGGAAACATGCTAGACTCATTACAACCCAGTAATTAAACTTGTGCCATCCTGTTCTGTGGTAGGACTCTCTGGCTCACCGAGAGGCACCAGCAAGGTCTGTTTGTGCCCAGTCTGCTCTGTGTGCCATCCTGTTCTGTGGTAGGACTCTCTGGCTCACTGAGAGGCACCAGCAAGGTCCGTTTGTCCTTGCTGTCAAGCCAGAATCTTTGGAGGGAAACATGCTAGACTCATTACAACCCAGTAATTAAACTTGTGCCATCCTGTTCTGTGGTAGGACTCTCTGGCTCACCGAGAGGCACCAGCAAGGTCTGTTTGTGCCCAGTCTGCTCTGTTCTGATTGCCAGAAGTGTGAGCTGGCTGTTCAGAAGGAGCAGGGTGTGGTTATCACACAACCTCAATACGGAAGTTTTACATCTAAGTTTTAATACCATTTTATTATTTCTTGGCTCACCCTTCTGCTTCAAAGTTCATGTTATAATCCTGAATGTTTCCTGATTTGTGATTAGAGTGCACGGGTCTCAGAGGTGCTGACAGAGTTAGGAAGCTTGAATCCTTCAGTGTGATCCGTAGCAGTATTTGGATCTCTGGAACGTGAAATGCAAGAGAAACTGCATTTATAACTAAAGCCCCTTCACTGGAGTAAGTTCATGTGAAGAGCAAAACTATAACAAAATACAATTGTAATTAGTTTTTGCTTGTACATTTGGAATGACTTCAACAAAAGACAAGGGTGCTCTGATCCCCAAACCTTACTCTTACTGTGGGGTTTGCTTCTGCGAGGGACTCGTCGGTTAAAAAACTGTTCAGAATAAAGGCAAGCAGGCAGGAATTTGTGTTTCTGGGTTTTAGTCTTTGAGGTCAGGGGACTCGTCGGTTAAAAAACTGTTCAGAATCAAGGCAAGCGGGCAGGAATTTGTGTTTCTGGGTTTTAGGCAATTGCATCTTCCTAATGCAGAAAGAAATGAGCAGAAGGGACAAAGGATAAGGGAAATGTCTTTTGTGGAGAAGGTCACCTTAACTGCCCCTGAAGGACTGCGTGGATCAAAAACTTCCCACAGAGCTATTGTGAAAGTGATTGACTTCCTTGATGTATCCATCTTCATCAGGAAAGTGCCACATCATAAACTGCTGCTATTGCAGTGTCAGAACAAAATGCTAGCTTTTCAGCATTAACGTAATAAAACGGTAAAAAAGTTCATTTAATAACAGAGAAATAGCAAATCGGGGTAAAAGACCATTGCAGCGTTCATCAGGCAGGCTTTGAGTCCTCCAAAGTGGGAATTTCTGAACAGAAAACTGACAGCGATGATGGCTGTACTTACTGTGCCCCATTGCAGGAGTTATGGGAAATAACATTAGATGTAGTAAATCAAGCTGGGACAACAGAAGTGGGACAGAATAAGGTGAGTTCAGGACTTAACAGATCCCCATCGATGCCATTGCTCCTCGTTTGAAAAGTAAAGCCGGTTATATAGATAATCATGTAATACAATTTAGAATATATATTAAAAGGCCTTAAATGTCAGGACAAATTATGATATTTCATGGAGTGGTTTCACTTCCAGAAGTGCTGGATTCCGATTTTAAGAGAGATTAGCTAAAAGAAGCATCCATTTTTGTCATTGCTTGTCTTCTCTCCACTGTGCTCATGGGGTCTTTGAGGTCAATGCTTTGACTGGTGAGGAGAAAGGGCATAGTGACACACCTGGAAGAGGGGTTCTGGTTTGGGGATGGCTCTTCTACCATAATAGGGTACATGGAAAGCTCCACTGGGCCTCCACCTTCAGCCAAGGTCATGGAGATCATTCTCAAGGAAAAGAAGTCAAGCTGGCGTACAAAGTCCAAGCGTTGCTGCTGTCCATCACTGATGGCTGATGGAGAGCAGTAGCTTTTCAGGTGCGGGGGCAGGAATGCTTTTCTTCCAAATGAAGGTAAAGATCAGGTCATGTGTGGCTGATCAACAGCCTTCTGTCCTCTGAAGTTCTGAACATTAAAAGGATGGTACGACCTTTGAGAGAGATGCTTGTGCAGTGAAATTTATATAGATACAGGTTATGTCGTCTTGTGATGTTGAGCTCAGGAGAATGGAACAACTTCACAGGAGAAAGCTCCAGGGCTGCTGGATACCACAGCTGAATGGGCAGAATTACAGTAGGTACATTGTAGTCGCACGTGACAAACTCTCCTGTCAACCCACTTCCATCAATAAGTGCCTCTCCAAATTGTCCTGTGGCTGAAGATCCGTATCACAGAGAAGAAAACACATTGAACAGATCAATAGTGAAATTAGAAAGTTTGGTGACTCAGTATTTTACTTCAAACCTGAAACAGAAACTATTCTAGAGCTGCTTAATTCAAACCAAAGGCCTCAATAGTGAAAATTTATGTTTCACTCTCAGCAGATGAATAGTCTTAAAATATACACAAGAAAAATACCTGCAGATGTTTCTTGGGCCACAGGAAATCTTCCTTCAGCGTATTTTTCATGTCATGCCGTCAGTGAATTCTCAGCTACTGATACCAGGAGAAACAATCCCTTTTTTGCTCTTGTAATTAAAGTGAAGAGTTGCTTTTATTTTGCTGGTTGTCACTGTTGTTCTAATTATCTCTTGTAGACTCTGGATTCTTGTTTTCTGTTAGCTATAGCTCACGTTCTTACACAGCTTCATCCATAATTTCAGGTAATACAGGGGCTGACTGAAATCCGTTGTGAAGAGGTATTCATCAGCTTGGTTGGAACCTTCTTCATCAATTACAAGGACTCCCAGCAGATGCAATCTCTTACTGCCTTTTAATTGGTTCCTTGCGACAGCAGGATTTATGGGCTTTTTCCCCCGAATCCAATTTTATTATGGGAGCTTTGTGATAGCTATGGATTCTGCAATGACCAAAATCCGATGGAAACGCTACTAGGCCATAATCAAACTAATAGAATGATAATAGAGCTGATTTCATCTGAGGAGCGTTAACCTTAATGAAAACACAGAAAATCAATGTGAAAGGCCAAACGAGGAATTACTTATGCATCCATCAAGTCAAAATTAATCGTTTTAAGAGGCTGCAGAAAGAGAGAGGGTCTTAGCACAGGAATACCAATGGGAAGACATGGGCATTAGCTGAAGTAGGTCTCCATGGAAAGATAAGATAGTAGGTCCAATAGTGCAAATGAGGAGGGACAAGGAACTGCAAAGAATAAAACTACAACTCTGAAATGTGTTCATGCAGCAGGGGGGAGTACTTCTCTGTTGTTGTCATCATTAACACAGTGACATTAACTGTCCAGAGGGCAGACAACTTACCATGACAGGTGGCCACAGCCAACAGATGCTCATTAGCACAGGTTTAAGAGTTCATCCCCTTTGTTTTCCCTTAGATGAAAGATAAAATGTATTTTTGTTTTAAAGTGACTAGATGTTATGTGTCCGTGAATTATTACTTGTCCACATATCTCTGTTTTTAACAAAGGACATTCTTGGTGTAGCAGCGTGTCCCACAATCAGGACCCTGACTTGATGTGGAATAGGTGAGGCGCCATCCTTGTCCCGCCCGCCCACAACCAAGATGGCGGCGGGCGGCCTCAACTGACCCCGAAACTGCCAGGAGTAAGGATGGCGCGGGCGCGCACCGCCCCCCCCCTCCCCGAGCTGCCCTCGCGCATGCGCGGGACGGGGCGGGGCCAGGTTGGAGTTTTGGCGGGTGCCCGGGAGCGCGCGGCTGGCGGTGAGCGGGGCGGCCTGAGGGGAAAGGCCGGGGGGATCGGGGTGCGGGGGGGCGAGAAAAGCGAGAGCGATCCCTGGGGATGGGAGTCTGGGAGCCCCGAGAGCGATCCCTGGGGGTGAGGGATCGGGGATCTGCCGGGAAGCCCTGGAGGGGGGGGTCAGGGTTTCACTGGGTTGGAGGGGGCGGCCCTGAGGTGTGGGGGGGCGGCCCTGAGGGGAATGTGGGCTCGCAGCCCCGAAAGGCAACCATATCCTGGGCTGTCTCCCCAGCAGCGTGGCCAGCAGGGCGAGGGAGGGGATTAAATTGGAAGAAAAAAGATTCAGATTAGATATCAGGAAGAAATTTTTTACTATGAGGGTGATGAGACACTGGCCCAGGCTGCCCAGGGAAGTTGTGGATGCCCCATCCCTGGAGGGGTTCAAGGCCAGGCTGGATGGGGCTTTGAACAACCTGGTCTGGTGGGAGGTGTCCCTGCCCAGGGCAGGGGGGTTGGAACTCGATGATCTTTGAGGTCCCTTCCAACCCAAACCATTCTGTGATTCTATGATTCTGCACCTCTGCTCCCCTCTGGTGAGACCCCCACCTGAAGTGCCGCCTGGGAGGGGATTGCTCCCCTCTGGTGAGACTCCCACCTGAAGTGCTGCCTCCAGGGCCCCCAGCAGAAGAAGGACCTGCTGGAAGGGATTCAGAGGAGGCCGCAAAAATGATCACCAGCTCTGGGGCCCCCAGCACAAGAAGGACCTGCTGGAAGGTGTTCAGAGGAGGCCTCAAAAATGATCGGAGGACTGGGGCACCTCTGCTGTGAGGACAGGGTGAGAGAGTTGGGTTTCTTCAGCATGGAGAAGAGAAGGCTCCGGAGAGACCTTATAGCCCCTTCCAGTATCTGAAGGGTGCCTAGAGGAGAGATGGGGAGGGAGATCAGGGAGTGCAGTGATAGGGTGAGGGGGAACGGATTTAAACTGAAAGAGGAGAGATTCAGATTAGATTTTAGGAAGAAATTCTTTACTGCGATGGAGGTGAGACACTGGCCCAGGTTGCCCAGAGAAGCTGTGGCTGCCCCATCCCTGGAGGTGTTCAAGGCCAGGCTGGATGGGGCTTTGAACAACCTGGTCTGGTGGGAGGTGTCCCTGCCCATGCCAGGGGTGATGGAACGAGATGATCTTTGAGGTCACTTCCAACCCAAACCACTCTATGATTCTATAAATGAGGATCCCATGGTGAGAGGAGGGTCGATCCTGGGCAGCACTGGAGAAGACAAAGAGATCCACTGAGGGATGGGGATCCTGTGGTCCCTGGGGAGAGGGGAGGTGGGGTGGCAGGCATGGCACAGCTGAGCTCTGATTTGGGACCCCCAGGATCCACTCTGCAGCAGAGCCACACCTGCTCATGTATGCTCTTGAGTTTTGTATTATTCTTTGCTGAAAATACGTTTTCTGGGGCAAGAGAAAAGAGAGTACTATTAAAAGTGGAATTTATAGGCGAAACAGAAGTCCTTGAAGCAGAAAAGCTGTGTAAGCACAGAGTTACAGTTTGGGTTTGTGAATAATCCATCCCCAGTGGATTTCTCTTCTGTTATCCAGTCTTCCCTTGGCCATTCATGTCTGCCTGTGCTGATTATTTCTCATGGACATGTGTCCATGAAACAGAGGAGGTGTGAGAAATGTAGAACGTATGTTTTTAAGAATAAGAAATGTGAAGAGAGAGCGAAACCCTGCTACTTTCTTCCATTTTCAAATGACAACTGAACACAGGACTGATGAGGTGGAAATGGTTATTACTAGGAGAATAAGGTAGGCATTTCTTAAAATCTTTGCCTGTTAATGGGCTTTTTTTCTAAAAGTAGTGCCCTTACACTGCAGTGCGTTCAGCATAGATTAGACTTTAAATGTAGAAAATGTACCTGAGGGTATTAAATTTAGTGGAGTCCTCATCTGCAGCTTTTTGTAAACAAAACCAAGCTGGTGGTTTGCGAATCATCAAATAAGGAGCCTAAACACAATATATATTTCTAGTTGAGTTATAGCCACTTTAACAGTTTCACTGTTTTTCTCCCCGTAACAGAGAATATTGTTCTTGAGGGGCTCTTGAAGAAATCCTGGTGAAATCATGGACGGTAAGGGGAAAAGTACTCTTACTTTCAGCAGGAAAATTGTCTTCTGACCAATACATAAGTTAATAAGTTCAAGCGTTGAGAAATTTACCAGAAATGGTAAATGTCATAGCAAAGGAAATTATGTTGCACTGACTTCACTTGTGGAGGCCTTTGAGGTGGTCACTTGCCTTCATTGTTGTCACCTTTCTGTGGGGCTGCTTTGTCCCTTCCCTGATTTTGTTTTCTTTGGCAACAAAAGTTAAATAAATTTCTTGTTTTGTTCTGCATTTTAGTTCTGCTCTGTCTGTCCCATTTCTATCTCAACTTGATTTTCTTTTATCCATTATTTGTCCCTTTGGTTTTTCTTTGCTTTCTATTTTCTGGAGCAAAGCATATCTGGGGATATGCTTTCTTGCCTGCCTTGCATCTTCCTCTTCAGCTTCTGTTGGCAAAAGCTACGTGGGTGTCTCTGTAGAGCTCCTGGCTGCACCTTTACAAGTCCCAAGGCTTTTCCTTGTAACAGCAGCTATTGTACAAGCAGCTGCATAGGAGGAAAAGCCAGTGCTGAGTAGCCTGCAAATTTTCTGCTGACCAGCCAGCCTGGATCATAAACCCAGAGTGTATGTAACCACGTTTCCATCCAACCGGCTGGCAGGAAGCTGCTTTTTCATCCTTTAGGCAAAGTTGAAGTAGTTCCAGTGCTGAGTAGCCTGCAAATTTTCTGCTGACCAGCCAGCCTGGATCATAAACCCAGAGTGTCTGTAACCACATTTCCATTCCATCCAACCTGTCAGGAAGCTGCTTTTTCTTCCTTTAGGCAAAGTTGAAGTAGCTTTTTAAGAATGCCACTTGCTGTTCTGATTTGCTTTTGGTTGTCATTAGCTTGTGATTAGAGTAACGTGGATATTTTATTCCGTGGCAGCTTTCCTCTAACTGGGAAGAAATAATGCTGAGTTTAATTTTTGCTGTAGCTGATGATGACTTGGATCTGTTGGCCTCTCTCCTGGAAGAAAACGAAGCAACTGAGGAGGGGAATTCTCCTGAGGAGGAAGATGCCCCAGAGGATGAGGGGGGAGAACCAGATGAATATGATGAGCTCTTTGATGCAGAAGATGATGCATCCTACACTGAGGAGGTTGATGCTGAGGACAACGTGATTGATGAACAGAAGGAGAACCTGGCTATGCTGTTTGGAGATGTGGATGACCTGCTGGAAGAGGAGGAGGCAGAAGAATCTGTCCCCACTTCAGCTCCCAGTCAGGCAAAAGAGAAGACCAAATCTGTTGGCCTCTCTCCTGGAAGAAAGCGAAGCAACTGAAGAGGGGAATTCTCCTGAGGAGGAAGACGCCCCAGAGGATGAGGGTGGAGAACCAGATGAATATGATGAGCTCTTTGATGCAGAAGATGATGCATCCTACACTGAGGAGGTTGATGCTGAGGACAACATGATTGATGAACAGAAGGAGAACCTGGCTATGCTGTTTGGAGATGTGGATGACCTGCTGGAAGAGGAGGAGGCAGAAGAATCTGTCCCCACTTCAGCTCCCAGTCAGGCAAAAGAGAAGACCAACCAAGAACTGCAAGGTAACAGCATCTTTATTCTATTGTATATATCTTGTCTCTAGAGAGCTAATGGCAGAAGGTAGGGTCTGCTGCTTCTCGGTTAAGAACTGCAAGGTAACAGCATCTTTATTCTGTTGTATGTATCTTGTCTTTAGAGAGCTAATGGGCAGAAGGTAGGGTCTGCTGCTTCTCAGTCTAACGTGATTGATGAACAGAAGGAGAACCTGGCTATGCTGTTTGGAGATGTGGATGACCTGCTGGAAGAGGAGGAGGCAGAAGAATCTGTCCCCACTTCAGCTCCCAGTCAGGCAAAAGAAAAGACCAACCAAGAACTGCAAGGTAACAGCATCTTTATTCTATTGTATATATCTTGTCTCTAGAGAGCTAATGGCAGAAGGTAGGGTCTGCTGCTTCTCGGTTTAGGATGGGGAATACAGAAAGTCTTTGTGAAAGTTTAAGTCCAGTTTTCAGTGCTCAGTCACCAAACTCACCAAACCTGTTCCTCCCCCTCAGCCCCGCCAAAAAAAGAGACAGATGACTGAAGCAAGCCAGGGAAACTAAACTGGCTCTGCTGAGCAGGATCACAGAATCACCTAGGTTGGAAGGGACCTTTATGATCATCTAGTCCAACCATCAACCTAACTCTGATATAGAGATAGAGAAGGTTACCTGTGTACCTGCACCTTGTCTGATGAAAAGCAGTGTTGCTTCAGTCTTCAAGGCTGTCACCCTGGCATCTTTCACCAGCACAGCTCTCCTTCCCCCACAGGACTTAACAGCAGAAGGTTCTGCCGTACTAGTCAGTGTGGAAGCAGAGCTGGGCACAGAGCCTTCCTGTGTCCAGGCCACATATTTGATTATATTAGAAGCATTTCTTTATAGTAAATAGTACAATCATCAGCCATTTAAATTGTCTTATGTTTACTGTCATAGAATCATAGAATGGTTTGTGTTGGAAGGGACATTAAAGATTGTCTTGTTCCAACCCTCCTGCCATGGGCAGGGACACCTCCCACTAGACCAGGTTGTTCAAAGCCCCATCCAGCCTGGTCTTGAACCCCTCCAGGGATGGGGCATCCACAGCTTCTCTGGACAACTTGTTGAACTTCAGGAGGAAAGGTACATGCACTATGGCAAGGAACATACTGTGGTCAAGGAAAATATTTATATGAGAAAAATCAGCTCCAGGCTGTATGAAAAAGTGGCCCTTCACTGCGAGCTATCCAGAGTCAAGTACATCTGTATTGTGGCTTGGGTCTTTGTTTTTGAATTTCCTATGATGTAGTGAAACTGCCAGACTTCCAGGGATCTCATAAATTCCTGTTTGCAATCGCTTCCTGCTGTTTTCATTATTATCCTTTTTCTTCTCCCCTCTTCTCTAGCTGAGCTGAAAAAATTGCAAGAACAGATGAAGACGTTGCAGGAGCAGTTGCAGAAGACTGCTATTGGGCAGCAATCCAGTTCAGGCCTTGAGAAGAAAACTCCTGGTAATGAGACTAATTAAATGAGTTCATGATTTGTGTGGGCCTACCAGTGTGCAATTTATAGGCAAGACTCCAGATAATCCTAAAGTGGGCACTGAATAGCAGGGAGGAAGGGTGGTCTGGTATATTCCCACACATGTTGTTTCCTGCAGCTACAGACTAACTCAGGGAGCTACAGTATCTGCATCATGGCTTGCTGCTACATGAGGTGGCTTTCATGACAGAACTGCTCCAGGGTCTTCTGCTGGAAGTGTCCCTTCTTACTGGCAGATGACAGAAAATAGAGCTATGTTTGTTGCTGTAGCACATTGGGTGTAGTAATAAAGTTATAAATTAAAATTGAAAAGCAAGGGTTTGTATCTACTTTCCACAGCTTTGTGGCTTCAGCGACATCCAAAACTTTAGGTGCTTGTGGGGGAAGAGTCATTGGGACTTTTCTGGCTGTTGCACTTCAGATGCTGGCAACTTAGCTGAAGGGTTTCTGTGTGGGACCCTGACTTGGGCTTGTTATTCAGATAATTACTTAGCTTGGAGCGGTTCTTAGTATTTAAGCCCAGATCCTTAGATCTCTTGAACACTTTTTTTCTGTTTTCCTGGCCAGGTAAATCTCCCTGTCCACCCTTAAAGGAAAGGAAAGTTCAGAAGCTGCAAGAGTCGCCATGTTTCTCGGCCCAACTGGGCAATCCTTTACCGCCAACCAAACGAGGAATCCAGAAATCAAAAGCATCCTCAGCAGGTATGTTAGACTCCTGTCTCTGGTCAGGTGTAAGTTAGTATTATTTTTATTTAGAAGTTTTCTTTCCTTATCAAGATTCTTTTTCTTACTTTTTTCCCCACTAAAGAGAACAAGACTCCCCCTCCACGCCAAGTCCTCAGTCTGGCGTTCCAGCCTCTCACGTCTGCTGCAGGGAACGCACCCAGTAAGGGGACCAGAGACAAGACTCCTCACGTGACCACATGCTCCGGTGCAACAACTCAGCCAGTGTCTGTGGAAACCTTCTCGGGACTGAGATTAAGGTCAGCAGCCCAGCACTCAGCTCTGTTTGGGGATATCACCCTCCAGTAACGGGAAAGAAAGCGCAATCAGTCCAGTGTCCTGTGATGGTAGTCACACAAGTGACTGGATTTCTGATTAACCATCGTTTAACCATGTCAGATCAGTCAATTGTCATTAGGAGATGCAATAGAAAGCCACAGCATTGGCTGGTTGATCAGTAAATAGGTAACGTTGACTTTCGGCTTAGTACCGTGTTTCTATTTTCACCTTTGCTCTTTTCTAACAAAAAAAGCTATAATTTTATTAGTGCTGCCTTCTCTGGGATGTCTCAGTGGTGGAAGAGGGAAGCAACGGGCTGTGCAAAGCCCAGTTGTGTTCCAGCTGCAAAAAAGCTATAATTTTATTAGTGCTGCCTTGTCTGGGATGTCTCAGTGGTGGAAGAGGGAGGCAATGGGCTGTGCTGAGCAGATTTTGCCCCAAAATTAGAAAACTCCGGAGCTGCTTTGGATCCCCGTACTCCATGTGGCCACAAGAGGTCCCTGAATACTCACCGTGCCTTCCCTCACTAGAAGCCGTGCTGGGTTTCCAATCCGTGCTCAGTCATTCATACTCAATCATTCCTGAAATGAGCAGAGTTAATGGAGGCTCGGGGCTAAGTTGCAGTGCAGCTTTCTGGACAAAGACTGGCGTGATCTGTAGCTTTCTGGTATTTGTGCAGTGTCCTGAACTGAGGGACAGGGGTTTTGTTTCAAGTGACCTCAGGGTGAAATAAGGCACAGGGGCATTTTGCTGCGAGACGTAGCCTCCCCAGGAGAATGCTGGATGGTTTTGATTGTCCGTTTGTGCCAATGGATGTGTTCTCTTTTCCATGCTTTTGCTTGATCTAGAAAACCCCGGGTTTCATCAGCTGAAATGGACAGGAAAATGGCTAACCGGAAGCTCCTCCGACTGTCCCAGCTGAAGAGCAAACTTGCTACAGAAAATCTGGAGGAAATAGACTGGGTAACATTTGGAGTCATAGTGAAGAAGGTCACTCCTCAGAGCGCAAATAATGTGAGTAACTTAGTTGCCTCCCTTGCTCAGTCCAAGTGCAATGTTGGTCTTGCTTTCCTGAGAAACTAGTTAGGTCTTCAACTTAATCAGTCAATTCCATGTAGTTAATGAAAAGCTAATATGTTAAAGATCTTGGCTTCTCTGGTTTCACACAGAAGTGTCCTCAGATTAGTCCTGAGGTTTTAGTCCTCAGGGTTAAGTCCTTCGTTTATCTGGTACAACTGTCCAGACACTAATGTAAGAAAAGTAGCCATGGCATAAATCTGCCTAAATCTGTTCATCCACTGTTACATGTTAAATGCCAGTGTGGAAAAAAATGGTGACTCTCAGTCTTTCTAGTCAGCCCTCTTGTTTTAAATGTGCCACCACATTCTTCTTCTGTCACTTCCCTAGAGGTCATTCTGTCCTATGTGGTGTACATGTTCTCTAGAAAGTCATTGATGAAACAGAGATTTGCTTTGGTTTTACTTGTTCAGTGGGGTAAAAACCTCTTTATTCAGCAATCAAGAGTGCTGTCCAGCTTTAATGTCTGGGAATTGGTGATAGCAATTATTGTTGTTCTATTTCAGCCTTTAAGAATCCCAGAAATGGCTGTGTGGCATGGCTGGAGATATTTTATCTAATCTCTGCTAAGGTTACAAATTGTGCTTTTCTGAATCAGGAAAACCTGGGGGGGGGTAAAAAATCAGAGTAACTCTTCAAAAGCAACAGCAAGAGGGGGCAGTCAGTGTCCTCGTGCTGAGAGCTGAAAGGAAATGTCTGTTCCAGGGCAGAACCTTCAGTATTTGGCGGCTGAACGACCTACGGGATCTCAACCAATATGTCTCACTCTTCTTGTTTGGTGATGTCCACAAAGAGCACTGGAAGACAGACCAAGGCACAGTCATCGGGCTGCTCAATGCTAACCCTATGAAACCTAAAGAAGGCTCAGATGAGGTGAGAGGATTTTTCACTTGCCCATCAGCTGTAGAGAAAAAAAACATAGCTGATACTTTTTCATATCTACTTGAGATTTAGCTTTATAACACACGTTAAGGCTGAAATTACGGCAGTCTGCCTGAACAGCTTGAATTGCATTCAGATGGTTGTGTGGTTGCTCCTGGACTTCTGGAAGTCTGAACTTCAAGAAGTCCTACTAAGCATCTAAAACCAGAGTTTATTCAAGTGTTTCATCTGCTCTCAGTAGCAGTCAGCTTTTCCACAGATGTAGGGTGTGTTTTTTCGTTTCAGTTTATTCAGTTTCCTCAGTGCAAAGCCCATTTCAGCCAAGAGGTCTCTAAAATCTGAAAAAGGTGGGGAAGCTCATCTCTCTCTTCAAATTTAAGCATGAGATGTGATTGCAAAATATTTATTGGTTCCAAAATCATGATTGAGAAGAAGCAATATTTGATTTATTATAATACATTGTTTATTTATATAGTAAGTTGATACATAGTACTTCACTTGCTTAATCAATTACTTATAAATGCAGAACATGATTAATTACTTTTATGTATCAAAACATTTAAGGTGGCTTCATTTTCCTAATAAATTAATTCTTCTAATATCTTTTTAATTGCACTGGAATGGAAACTGTTCTTACTGACTTCTGTCAAGGGGAATTTCAATCTAGTAGCTGGTGATGTAGTGTTTTGCATTTTAAATTCTCCAAATGGAAAAATTAAGAATCTCATTAATTGTCTATTAAGCTATATAATTGCTTAAATTAACATGAATGAGCAGTAGAAAGTCCTACTGGTGAGTCAAAGAAAAACATACCAGATTTAATGTAAGGGCTGTATTCAACTGTTAAGAATGGCTCTTAGCTAAAATGTCCACATTTAGACCTACATTAAAGCTGACTTCTTGACATGTTTCTTATCTGCAGACAGAATTCCTACTATCCCTGATTGTGTGAGGTAGACACTCTCCTTGAACCACAGGAATCAGTTTTGATGGTACCCTAAACATAAGGAGAGGGACAGAGAGCTTTTAGTCCATCTCTTCTTCCCATCCTCTGCTGAATGTGGTTGCCATGGTGGCATCAGAGCCAAGTGGTTGTACAGGACCATCATTTATAGCACAGCTAAATTTGCCTCTGCTGGTCCTTGGTTCTTTGCGGTTCTGAACATAGAAATGCAACATTTTTCATCTCTTTTTGAGAAAGAAATTAACTTTTTTTTTTTTTTAACTGAGCCTTTTCTCAATCTAAACAGAACATGTGGCTTTCTTAAGCTAGGCCCACATGTTAAAGCTGCATTGTTAATACCAGAGGTACCAAACTGGACCAGAGCCAAACCAGTGGCATCTAGAGAGAAGCCCATAGAGTCTTCCTGAATCATAGAATCATAGAATTGTCTAGGTTGGAAGGGACCTTAAAGATCATCTAGTCCAACCATCAACCTAACTCTGACAAAAAAATAAATAAGAAATAAGCTATTTAAAAAAAAAACACTAAACCATATTCTGGAGGACCATGTCAACCCATCTTTTGAATGCCTCCAGGGATGGTGCCTCAACCACTTCCCTGGGCAGCCTATTCCAATGCTGGATAACCCTTTCCATGAAGAAATGTTTTCTGAAGGCGTGTTCTGATTTCTTTCTAGGTGTGTTTGTCTGTTGATCATCCCCAGAAGATCCTTCTCATGGGTGAAGCTCTGGACCTGGGCACTTGCAAAGCCAGGAAGAAGAACGGTGATCCTTGTGCACAGATTGTGAACCTGGTCTGTATCTCAGTAGTCTAAGCTGTTGGTGAAAATCTGGCTGCTGAGTTTTGTACTGATGCTCTGACCCCGACATGTTTCTGGATCTTGACTTGTAACTAGTTAAATTGAGTGGAGAAACTGAGAAATGAAACCTAGAGGAGCTGCTTCTGTGAGGGCACTGGAGCAGCAGCACGGTAGCTCCCTAAATGCAAAGTTGGTGCTGCAGTGAAAAGAGATGGTCTTGACCCATGACTGTCACCATCTCCACACCCTTTCACTTTCCTTAGTGGCGCTGCAAGCTTCCATGCACTGCACTAGAGAACTCATCCAAGGTAAAACAAAGGGAGGTTTTTCTTGGGAGTGGTTATGTTTTTCAGAGACAGCTTTAACCCAATGAGTTCCCTGGTCCAGCTGCCAGAATATTTATTCCTGGGATGGAGGAAGTCCTTGACACATGGAGTGTTTTTCCAGTGATTAACATGGGCAGTTTTAGTTTTGTTTTTCACTGCTGGAGTGTGGGCATATTTTTGCTGAGTTGATCAAATGCCGGAGTACCACAATAGAGATGTTGCTTTGGTTTAGGATGCATGTAGGTGAGAGGAATGAAGTAAATTTTAATTGCTAGTGTTCTGCAACAGGCTTCTCCCATTTCTTTTCAGAACGACTGTGAATATTGTCAGTATCACATACAATCCCAGTACAAGAAGCTGAGCTCGAAGCGGGCAGATCTGCAGTCTACCTTCTCTGGGGGTCGCATTCCTAAAAAAGTTGGTCGGAAAAACCCTACTTTGAAGGAGAGGCTGTGTCAGGATGGGTTTTACTATGGAGGCGTCTCTTCAGCAGCATACGCAGCCTCGGTGTAAGATAAACCACTTATTTCCCTTGGGCTAAAGCACAGTTCACTGCTTTTAAACAGCGTTTACCTCCCATATACAAGTGAGCCTGGAGCTATCTCTAGGGTGAGAGCTCCCTTTGACTTAACTACGTTCACCAAATAGAAATAAATGCCCCATGTTTGGTGTAATTCTCCTGGCGTCATGGGATGGGAGATCAGAGCTGTTGTTTGATGGAAAAATTTTAACAATCAGTGTTAAGATGTGGTATGGGGTGTTTTTTGCCTCATTAATACTGTGTTGTGCAGTCAGGTGGCATTTTGTTTCAGTGGATGAAATGCACTTTCTCATGAGATCCCAAGCGTTTGAGTCTCCAAGAAGAGTATTTTTCAGTGCCATTCCCTTATTGTATTTCGTTATGGCTCATTGCATTTAATCCCAGGCTCAGTGTCAGTGTATTCTGTATTTCCTCCTCCCTTCCTTGACTGAGACAATACAGTATCACTATGTGTTAATGAAGAGACAGTGGTACACCCTGTGTGCTATTAAGTGACCGAGGTCAGTAGATCTGTACACATCCCATAACTAGCATGGAGGGGTCAGGTCCTTCATCCAAATCCCACTGAAGGCAGCTGTGGAAATACAAAGTCACAGCTGGATTGAGCCCTTTGCTTGCATGCGGCTTTCACAGAATCACAGAATCTTCTAGGTTGGAAGGGACCTTAAAGATCATCTTGTCCAACCGTCAACCTAACTGACAAAAATAGACACCCACACAACAAACAAGGAGCATCATCACTAAACCATACCTCCCAGCACTACATCAACCCGTCTTTTGAACACCTCCAGGGATGGTGCCTCAACCACCTCCCTGGGCAGCCCATTCCAATGCCTGATAACCCTTTCAGTGAAAAAATTTTTCCTAATATCCAGCCTGAACCTCCCCTGGCGCAACTTGAGGCCATTTCCTCTTGTCCTGTCGCCTGTGACTTGAGAAAAGAGACCGATCCCCATCTCTCTACACCCTCCTTTCAGGTAGTTGTAGAGAGCAATAAGGTCTCCCCTCAGCCTCCTCTTCTCCAGGCTGAATAACCCCAGCTCCCTCAGCCTCTCCTCATAAGACTTATTCTCCAGACCCCTCACCATCTTTGTCGCCCTTCTCTGGACTCTTTCATTCCCTTATCTCTGCCCTCTGATAACTGGTGTGACTCCACAGTAATGAAGCAATTCCAGCCTCCTCTCCATCCCTGGAACTAGCTGTGAGCAAGGCTTAGCCATGACCTATGTTTAACGTTCTGGCAATACATAGGAGATACATATTTCAACCAAGGGGAAATGGGAGATCCTAAACAATGTGCTAGAATTTCAATTTAGACCCATGTCCTTCCCACAGACAGACAGATGGATTTAGACCCATGTCCTTCCCACAGACAGATAACAGTAGAGAGGCACCAATTTGGATTAAACAAAGGGTGGCTGGAGTTTTGCTGAAGCACTGGGCTAGTGTTCAAGCTCCTGTCCTTGCTCTGAGCATGGGAAAACTCTGATGTTCTGGTTTTGTTTCCTCTTTCTAGTGCAGCGGCTGCAGCGCCGAAAAGAAAGATTCAAACCACTCTCTCCAATCTGGTCGTGAGAGGAGCTGACGCAATTGTCCAGGAAACCAGGCAGAAAATTGGTACCTAACTACCCCTGTAGTCTCTTCCCCCTCCAGATATTGCCAGCTTGATGTGTAGATGTGTCCCAGGACCCTGCTACTCACTGAACAAATCTGGCAATTGCTTTGCTACAGAGATAGCCGTTTGCAGGCTGCTTTCTCAATTGATCAGAACTCCTCTTCCCTCTTGAGATCACAGCTGCAAGGCAAATGTAACTAAGCAACTGTGTAGCTCCATGCATCTTTTTTTTCATCAGTGCCCCTGAATTAAGTCTCCTCTTCTGTCTTTGGACAGTGACAGAAGATCTTTGCCAGATTAATGGGAATTGGAAGTTTTAAGAACTTTGAACCAGAGAATTTATTTTATTTGATTAAAATAAATGACTTCTGTCAATCTTGAAAGCTTCCGAGGAATACCAAGTATAAATCAGAGTCAGGGCTGCAATGCAGGGGGACCTCCTGAGTACCCAGCCTGTTTCTAGTGCTTTTCTTTTGTGATCTGCAGTCTGTTCCTTCCACAGCCGTTGGGATGTCACCAATTTTTCTCTGCCACCGTTTGTTTTCTGAAAAGCACTTAATATTACACCCTCTTTATGCTTGGTGGAGAGCAGATGACAGATTATTCAAACTACGTGCTCTAGATGCCACTTAGATGTCGTATTCACATCTTTCATTTCCCTCAGTTGCCCTTATTTCAGACATCGCAGTGTGTGTCCTGTCTCTAGCTGCCCTTAATTCTCCAGGGATAAGATGTGGTGGCTTCAGGGCTTTCAAGCATTCTAAAAATGGGAATGGTGGGAGCACCAAAGATAGCCAAGGCTGATGGGGAAATGACTGTCTAATGAAATTGTTGAAGGGGTAGAAATGTCAGCAAAATACAACATAGAAGTTGGCCTTGTGTTGGGGGTGTGCTCACTCGGGTGACTCACAGGAGTTTCTTCCAACCTGGACTACTCTAGATCTCTAAAGCCAGAACTGCTTCCCTTCCTGGCTCCAAATCTGTTGGATTTTCTGCCTCTTCCACCCCAGGTGCAGCAAAGAGACCCATGCAATGTTCTGAGGAATTCAAGGAACTGCTGGCACAACCGACCTTTGGAGCAAGAAACCTCTGCAAACACTGGACCAAAGCAGGTATTGTCCTTTTCCCTGAAGGAAAACCCACTGCTGAAAACACTAAATCTCCTCCTGAGCAACCATTAGTGCCATTTTTTCATTTTGGTTTGGTTTGGGTTTTTTTCCCAGATGCTGAAAAGAAGCAAGGGGCCAATTTCCAGTCTATCTCTGCTTCAGCGCTGCTCAAGCAACAGAAACAGAAATTGCTGGAGGCCAGAAAAAAGCGATCTGAAGAGATTCAGAGGCGGTAATACATACTGACTTTCACAGGAAGGGTTCCTTTATTGTGTCCCTAACTATAACAGTGGAGGTGTTTTGCTGTTTTTAGAAAAACTTGGTTTAAATAGAAATACCCCAGTACTCAGTGGAGAACCAAATGCTCCAGCACAGTGCCCAGTAACTGGAAAGCACGATGGGAAGAGACTGATTAGAGCACGGGTCAGGACTCCTGGTTTTGTTCATTGCAGTCTTGCAAGGGTCTTCTGAACCTTAAGATTTTCAAGTGTTTTGTGCATATCTTGTTAACAAACCTAAGAACTTCAGAAGAGCCACCCTGGGTGAGACTGAGAGTGATATAGCCTCAAGAGGAACCAAAACAGAACCTGAAGGAGAATAATAAGACTAGGCACACTCATGATGATATTTCCCCCAGATATTCTCCCTGCCTACAGGACTATGTATTGCAGGGACTTTCCAAGCTAGAGGTAGTGTCTGTCACAGGATTTATGAAAGGTTTTTGCTTTTTTTTTTTTCCCCACAAACCTGTCCAACCTCTTCACCATGACCTATGTAAACCTAAGCATTTATGTGACCCCTGTGACAAGGAGTCTCACCACTTAACTGCCTGCTCTGCAAAGAAGCCCATTTTTGTGCTTTCAGCTCCTACCTCCCAGCTTCTTTTTTTTGTTTTGTTTCAGAAAACACTTAGTCATTCACTCCTTCTGGTGACTTCTTTAAGTCACTCTTGATTTCAGCCACCCAGTAAGTTCCTCACCAGTCTTGTTTTCTTCTTCTGAATGCCTGAATTGCTGCATGATTTTCTAGCAATAAAAGGCCAATTAGAGAAAAATCAGTCAACATCTCTTCTGCTCCTGTTTCTCAAACCTCTCTGCCTCTTTGATTTGTGTCCATATTCCAATGGATTATTCTTGTCTGACAAGGTTTCTCCAGAACACGAGTAAAGCCGGCAGCCCTGCTATCCCGTCCTCCTCCAGACAGTCCTCGCTCCCTTCCCCAGTGCCTGGGGCAGAGTTTCCCAAAGCTGCAAAAATGTCAACTCCTCAAAGGCCCAGGCTGGGCACAGGCTTCTCAGAAGGAGAAGATATCCTCTTCTTTGATGGGTCTCCACCCCCGATGCCAAAGCTAGGCAGCTTGGCAGAAGCCAAAAAGGTAACAGCTCTTTGAATCTTTTGAGTATTAAGAAGGGGAGGTTAAGGGAAGTTTGGTTTGTGGTAGCAGAGGAGTCTTCGATCAGATACAGGACAGCTCAGTGCTGATCTTGGTGAAGTTTCTGATTTGTGGGACCACACTGGGCTGTATTACAGTACACAACAAACCTATGGTTCCTGACAGCTCTTAGTACCAAGGTCCATGCTACTGGCTTGCCTGTAGTCAACTTCTAGAGCAGTGGGACAGCCCTGGAACAGGGACCTGTGTGTGTGTGATGTTTGGCCACTGGAGCTGGTGTCTCTTGCTAAATCACAGTCCACCTGAACTGATCAGGAGCAAGTTGTTATGATCTGTCTCACATGTGATGCTCGTGAGCTTGCTCTTGGTGTCTGAAAGCGTGCATCACCAAAGCCACTGACATAACCAGCAATTTCAGCAGATGTCAAGTAGAACAGGGGACAGAGCAGCCTCTTGGGATGGGACCTGCGAAAAGGAGATGGGGATACAGGGCATCTTATTTAAGTCATGAGCCTGACACTGAGCTTTTTGCAGAAGAAACACCTCTTTACGCACAGCAGCAGCTTCTCTAAGTAGGACGGGCTCCATTCTTCATGACCTGACTCAGTCTGTCACCCCTCAGGCAAATTACCTTTCTGGAGAGCAGTTTGGAGTAGCTGTGTGGCTGTCCTTGTACTCTTCTTCATGCAGCTGGGACAAAAATCTGTCCACCAGTGGCTGCTTTTGAGTTTTGGGAGGTTGGGACACCTTAAACCATCAGGTTGTAGGTCGGTCCTGGACCAGGATGGGAGGCGCTGAAGTGATTTTTACAGGAGAAAGCAGAGCAAAACCTGTTGCTAGTAATTGTTTTTACAAGCATGAAAAACCTGAAGTGCTGAGAAGGGGCAGGGATTTGTGCTGAAAATCCCTGGAATGCTGAATTGTGCATGTTTGTTCTTTAGCATTGCTAGTGCAGTGCATTGTGGGTGTTTTCCATTTACCAGGTAAATAACGGTCAACTGAACTAGTTTAACTGTTGTGCCAAGAGTTTGGATCATTTTGGTTTCTAGCCAGAACAGATTGCACCTTTCCTTGGTACAAATCTCTTTACATGTTTGTCAAAGAAACTTCTCTTTTCCAGCAAGGAGCAGTCTTAGCATTCTGAGAGTACAGAAAGGAGTAATTACATGCAATTTTGTATTAGTTTCCAATTATTACCAATTTATGTGGAAATATCAAGTGAATTTGATTCTTCTAGAAAAATTACTGGTTTGTGAAGCGGTTTAAGTACAGCTGCAGAGATACCAAACCTGGTAACAGGTCTGAGGAGAAATGTAATGGTTTGGGAAGTCCCAAGAGATTGGGTGATGTGGTGAATCAGATGTACAGCAGAGCTGGGAATTCTATTGGGCCTGTCTTTGGCCAGCTCCGGTCTCAGGCCAGCAGATCCTGTCTCCTCCTTTTGACAGACTTTCTCTGCTACTTGTGGAAGTGGAAACGTGGGAGCTAGACTGGTTGGCACCACATTTACTGCTCTTTCCTGTTTTTTAGCTGGCTGCAATACGCCGACTACGAGCAAAAGGCCAGATTCTTGCTAAAACCGATCCAAACAGCGTCAAGAGGAAAAGAGCTGATGTTGATGATGTCCTAGAAATTGTTGAAAGAGTTGAGAAAAATGTTGCTCAATCACAAGGCACAGAAGCAGAGAATGGTATGTAATAGTCCCACCTGGGAAGGTATCTGCATTTTCTGTGGGAACTTGAGTTTTCCTGCTGGTGATTTACTGTGTGATCTTGCATGAATTGCTTAATTCCCTTTAAAGCTTCTCCATCAGTCAGAGAAGCAACGTTGCTTGCTCCCCTGGGAGTGATGTGAAAATTCCTAGTTGAGAGAAGATGCAATGTTATTTTTTAAAATTATTTTATTTTTTTCTGAAGCCATATTTGAACTTGGCTTCTTGTTCTCCTAAGCTAATAAAGGCTTCTGTTTGACCTCAACATCTGCCTGAGATACCCAAGACTTCCAAAATCTCCTGCAGTGGTCATGCTTAAGAGATCACAACCTTCTTTTGAACTTGGTCTCTGTAAGACTGAGCCTTTTTGTCTCCCTAGATATGGACAAACTGGAGCCTGCCCAAAAGAAACAACGTGAGCAGCTGGCCTATCTGCAGTCAGAAGAGTTCCAGAAAATTCTGAATGCCAGGTCCAAGCACACAGATGTCCTGAAAGAGGTATGGCCTCAATCCAGTCGTGACTGAGGGCTCAGAACTACGGAGCTGTCTGGACTCCGCAGAGTGATTTCAGCAAGAAGCAGGCACCCAAACGTGTCATAGGGACCACATTGTCCTGATGAGTAGAGTCTCTGAGCACACAGGGCAAGTCAGCATTATTGCCATAGCCATGGTAAGGTCAGGTTGCCATCATATTTTTTTGCTGTGTTTGGAAGAATCACTGAAGTTTCCTGGTTAGTGGATGATCAGAGAAATCCTTCTACCTTAAAACCAAATTAGCCACGTGCCTATTTTGTCCCTCATTTCTTGACATCTTGGTCACGTAAAGACACCTGCCACCTTCATCTGGGACTCGTGTGAGTTGTGGAGCCTGTGAAATGCTGGCAGTTCCCCTGAAGACCCAAGAGGTTGGGGTTCTCCCATTGGGAGAACCTTGCTGAGCTTGTTCCCAGGGATATAGCACCTCCAGTGGCACAGGTCTTAAGACATGTTGTATTGGTATGAAGCCCTAGCTGTTCAAAGCTCTTCTGAAGAGTAGTATTTTGGCTAAGAACCAATTCCATTTGTTACATCTGCCTACAGATGTTAAACACTCCCACTCGTACATCTCAGAGGTGGCTCATCTCAGTGTCACTGAAGCACAGCACGTGCACCACATGGATTTTTTTGAAGCCAGAGATATTTGGTGTTTCTCTGGCTCCCAGACTGCAGTCTGCTTCAAGCAGGCCCAGTAATAATTTGCCTTAAGGCCATTTATGGAGAGGCTTCTCCCATCTTTGTCTCCCCACCACCCTTTTTGTGTGCCCCCCACAGGCTGAGGCTGAGCTGCAGGAGCAATACTTCCAGCCGCTGGTGAAAAAGGAAGAACTGGAAGAGAAGATGAGGAGCATCAAAGAAGTGAAATGTCGAGTTGTGACGTGTAAAACGGTGAGTGGAGGGGAGCCAGGGCAACAGCAGGGGAGTGGAACACGGGTTGTACAGAACAGTTGCAGGACCATCCTGAAGACTCCCATCTGCCACTCTCTTGGCCACAGTCCAGCGCAGGGATCAAATGGAGACTGTTTCATTCCTTGTGCCTGTTGCTGAGAGCAGCCCGTGCACTGAGTGACTACACCATGAAGGCACTGGCAGGGCAGGCTTTCGTGCTGTGCTGAACATCTCAACTCAACGTTTATGCGAGTGGGTTCCTTGGGTGTTGATGTCTGAAAACATTTACCAGTCTCTTCTCTGAAGTCCTTTGTTCCAGGACCCTCAGTTCCCCATATTATGTGGCAAAAGAAGCCAAATGCCTTGAAAACATAACACTGGGTGGGATTCCTCCGTGTTTCCAGGGATTTTGCTATCAGACAGAGGAATGGAGCTTTCTTACTATCCCAAATGTGCTGAAGGGAAAGGAGTTACTTCCCATTCCCAGAGTTTTTAGAAGGGCAACAAAGATGGTGAGGGGTCTGGAGCACAAGTGTTATGAGGAGAGGCTGAGGGAGCTGGGGGTGTTCAGCCTGGAGAAAAGGAGGCTGAGGGGAGACCTTATTGCTCTCTACAACTCCCTGAAAGGAGGGTGTAGAGAGGTGGGGGTTGGTCTCTTTTCTCAAGTCACAGGCGACAGGACAAGAGGAAATGGCCTCAAGTTGCGCCAGGGGAGGTTCAGGCTGGATATTAGGAAAAATTTTTTCACTGAAAGGGTTATCAGGCATTGGAATGGGCTGCCCAGGGAGGTGGTTGAGGCACCATCCCTGGAGGTGTTCAAAAGACGGGTTGATGTAGTGCTGGGAGGTATGGTTTAGTGATGGTGATGCTTCTTGTTTGTTGTGTGGGTGTCTATTTTTGTCAGTTCGGTTGACGGTTGGACAAGATGATCTTTAAGGTCCCTTCCAACCTAGAAGATTCTGTGATTCTGTGATTTTAGCCCCTGCTGCACTTTCCCACTCGCTGCCTGTTCCTGCCTGTTTTGGGGCTGCACAGAGGGGCCACTGTGTGCCCCGTGCGGTGCTGGGAGCAGGGACAGAGGGTGGTGGCAGAGAGGGGAGGATGGCGTTAGAAGCAGCAGTGACAAAGCCTGGGGTGATGATCTCAGACTGGTGGGCTCCTCGGGATGGGAGAAGACAGAAGTGCTTTTCCTCCAGATGTTCAGCTGTCACCAGTCTCAGGTGCTGGTGAAGAGCTCACGACTCTTTTTTTTTCTCCTCCCCGACAGTGTAATTACACCTATTTCAAGCCTCTGGAGACGTGTGTGCAGGAGAACCACGACTACCACTGGCACGACGCCATCAAGAGATTTTTCAAATGTCCTTGTGGAAACCGAGCTATTTCCCTCGACAGGCTCCCGAAAAAGCCCTGCAGGTAAGAAATGAGGCTGGTGAAATGGTGAGTGGGGCTTTCGCACCAGCCGTTCACAAGTTGCCTGTTGGGAGTCACATAAACAGTGTCCTCGAAGGGGAAGGTCAGTCCTTGTGCTGAGCAGTGTGGGGAAGGTGTGGGGCACTAGTTCTGGCACCAAACACACACCACGCTGGTCCTCACCTGCCACCTTCATCTTTCAGCACCTGTGGCCTCTTCAAGTGGGAGCGAGACGGGATGCTGAAGGTAAGTGGGAGCCAGTCTGCCTCCTTCTCTTGGTACTTTCATACCACGCTTTGCTTCAGTGCCCTTATGAGCAAAACCAAACATTTTTTAGGTGCACAGAGCCTGCCAGCTGTGATTTAGTGGGCTTTTGCTTCTTGCTTTTGACCAAAGTTTGTAAGAATTCAGAATGTCAGGGTTCCCAAAGTGTCTGTCAGTATTTAATCGGATCATTTAGCCCTATCACAACTTCTGGCAAAGAAATGTTTGGGAGACATCTTACCACACATTTAATTTCTATTCTCCATGGTTCATGTTTCTAGGAGAAAAAAGGTCCGAAGATTGGTGGAGAAACACTTTTACCAAGAGGGGAGGAACAGCCAAAATTTCTCAATAGTCTTAACTGACCCGACGTTGATATTATTTTTTTTTTCACAACGTAAAGATGGATTTCTGTGTTTAAACCACACATTTCTGTACTGGAACGCTGAGAGGAGTCTGGTTTTAGGGATGAATGAGCAGAAGAGTCAATTCCTCATGAGCAGGACATCCCCAAAGTCTCTACCAGGCCACTGCATGGATATTTGGCTTTGATCTTTTTAAACTTGACTGAATAAGGCTGCATGTGAAACACACATTCACGCCTGTTCTTTCTTACTAACAACTTGTTTACAAGATTTAACCTAGAAAAGAGACAGCTAGAGGGGAGCTCACCAAGGAATCCCCAGGGATCCCAGAGTTTATGTTGAATGGCTGGTGTAGAGTGACCTCACCAGAATTTTAAGTGACAAATCATTATGAACCAGGAGGACTGTGAACTCCCAAAGCACTTGTGAAGTCAATACCGTGGTGGGCAAATGCCAGCCTGTCAAGGTTTTTCAGCTGTTGGCCAAAAAGGGCTGTAAGAGGGTCGTAACCACAGCACAGTCTTGGCTCCAAAATTACTCACTTTGAACCCTTAAGAACAGATATCAGGCAGTTCCTGAGCTGTCACCTTGGCTTATGTGTTAAAAAGGACCTTCAGTGGCTTTGGCAGTGCAAGCCAGTGGCGTTTGCCCTGCAGACCAGCAGGTCCCTGTCACACAGCCCGTATGGTGTTCCCAGCACCATCCACTCTACGGCACCTTCGTGGCTGCAAACCTGCAGCTCCCCCTCTGAAAAGCATTTTAATGAATCTGGCACCGTTTTGCAAGTGGTTTTAACGAGCTGAGTGATTACATTTAATAGCTTTTACCCCCTTTTTTTTTTTTTTTGGCATTTTTAAATTTTCCTGAAGTCTTTCCCAGTCATCACCATGTCAGCCCGGGCTGCTGGCATGGCTGCATGGGGACAGTAGCTCTCAGACCAAGCAGGACCAGGTCTCCGAGGGCTGTCTTCACACAGGTGTTTTTCTGAAAGCACGTCTCTGGGTGGCATTTGGCCAACTTTTCCTGGACCTGATCCTTCTGCTGCCCATACCTCATGCCCCCTAGGATCACAGGGTATTTTTAAATGCCTGAAGCCACCAGCACCTCAGTGATTTGATGAAACTGCCACCAGCAGTCTCACGTGTCCCAGAGGCCTTGTTGATACCTCTTTTTGCTTGCACAAGGGCTGGAAGAGAAAGGTACTTGATGTGAAGCAACTGGCCAGGTGCGCCTCGGTATTTTGCAGCCCTCATCTACTGGTGCTTCTTCTGGGCAGCTCTGCTCGGCACGTTACCTACACTTCAGTCTCGGGTCCATACCAGTTGATGGGTGGGGTGTCACTGGTAGGTGACCATGAATATGTAACTGGGACGTTGCTTGGCGATGTCTCCCGTTGACTCCTTATTCAGAATAAATAGTGCACAATAAAACGCTCCCCGGGTTTGTGTGCTGTCATTTCTCTGAGGAAGAGGAGAGGATGCCAGAAGGAACTGGTTCGTGGATGATGACTGTTCTCAGTCAGACCAGCAGGAGTTTCTCACCTGGAGCCCACAAAACCAGCGTGAAAGTCCACATCGGTATCAGCCTTCAGCTGGCATGATGAGAGCTTCAGGTTTTTTCCAGTTCCTGTCTCTTTGGCCAAGGGAAAGGAGATTAAACTGTCACAGGTGGGTCAATACTTTATCTTCACAAATGCCCCCAGGACTGTGAGAGGTAGGAAATTGAGCCAGCATGTGCCCTTGTTGCCAAGAGGGCCAATGGGATCCTGGGCTGCGAAGGGACGAGTGTGACCAGCAGATCGAGGGAGGTCATTCTCCCCCTCTGCTCTGCACTGGTGAGGCCACAACTGGAATACTGCATCCAGTTCTGGGCTCCCCAGTTCAAGAAGGACAGGGAACTACTGGAGGGAGTCCAAAGTAGGGCAGCCAAGATGATTAAGGGATTGGAGCATCTCCCTGATGAGGAAAGGCTGAGAGAGCTGGGGCTCTTTAGCCTGGAGAAGAGAAGGCTGAGGGGAGACCTTAATAATGCTGACAAGTATCTAAAGGGTGGGTTGAGGGAGGATGGAGCCGGACTCTTTTCAGTGGTTCCCAGTGACAGGACGAGGGGCAACGGGCACAAGCTGGATCATGGGAAGTTCCACTCAAATATGAGGAAGAACTTCTTTATGGTGGGGGTGGCAGAGCCCTGGCACAGGCTGCCCAGGGAGGTCGTGGAGTCCCCTTCTCTGGAGATCTTCAGGACCTGCCTGGATGCAGCCCTAAGTGATGTGCTCTGGGCAACCCTGCTTTGGCAGGGGAGTTGGACCAGATGATCTCTAGAATTCCTTGATTCCGTGAAAGGGATGTGCCTCCTTGGGAACTAAGGAACGGAAGCTGCACCCTCAATTCATCCTTGGATGCAAAAATAGGGTGAAGAAACAAGGGCTCATTGCTTTGCTTCAACCCTGGGGGTAAACAAGGGGTGGGGAAGACTGAGGTAATGAGCTGCTGCTGGAGCAGGAGCAGTTGTCTGGGATAGAAATTAAGGAATGTCCACCCAGGGACAACAGAGGATGAAGATGTTACTGCAGAGAAACGACACCTTTCCTGCACTGCCAGGAAACCAAACCCTAGGAGATGATACATGGTTGTGGGTTTGGTTTTCTACCCAGAAAGCGAAGTGCTGGAGACTGAGACAAATTTCAAGCCATGAATTTCCAGTGTAGCACATGCTTTGGAAATCTGTGGCTGCAGAGTCTCTGCTGGCTGGGATGGGTGGGAAGAGGAACCAGAAAGCACGTACCAGGTAGATCCCTTGCACAGAACCTCACCTTTACATGAACTGGTGAAGCATCCCTTGGACTCCAGCCCTTGCTCAAATATCCTGTCAGGAAGTGTTTGTAGGTCCTTACTCTCCAAGGATAACGGTCCTGTGCCCATGAGCGTGTAGCTTTGCTGAGAAGAAGCCTAGGAGCCTTGCTGGATCTGGGTCTGCCCAGGGATCAGACTTCTTGGGATTGCTAGGATGCAGCTGAGCTGGCCTTGCAGGCAGTTGAGGGAAGTTGCCTAAGCTTAGTCCTCACCAGACTGGAGTATCCTTGACCCGTTGTTGTAGGAAAGAGTGAGGACCCAAGTCTCCCATCAGGTGCTGAGTTTAGATGGTCTGTGATGTCTTTGATGGGGTTTGTTCTTCTGAAAGAGGAACACTTAAGCCTAAATCCATAGGCAGAGATGGGCAAATTTTTAAAAACAAAGCTAAAGTTCTTCTTTTCCTTCGCTCTCCCAGCCATAGTAAGAGAAATTCAGTGCCTGGAAATTCTGGGAATCTGATGGACGCCTGTAGCTCTTCTCTGTGGTCACAGCTCCCTCTGTGGTCAACTCAACTACATCAATAACAACAGACAGGAAAGTCTCTCCACAGATCCTGTGTTGTGAACCAGATGGGATACTTTCAGTCCTCACAAAGATCCAAAGGAGAGCACCAGCTGGTCTGTGAGCTCAGCAAAGTCATAGAGGAGCCCCTAACTCACTGGAAATCATTCAATCAGGCCCATCCAGCAAGCAAAGAACAGGCTGAGAAGGTCCAACTCTGGAGAGGCATCATGGTACATCTTCCCAACAGTGGCATCGATGCCAGGGTTATACAGAGGGCATGGGAAGAGACGCAGAAACCAGGACACTCAAAAGCTGTCCTTAAGTCTCCTGCTCAACAGATTTCTTGGTGTTGTGGTCAAACCAGAGGCTACCGAGAGAATATGTCTCTCTCCAGATGGACACCACAGCCCACACACCTCACCCCACCACAAGAGTTTAGGACCAACGCAATAACTGTGTTCAAACCTTACCTTGTTTAAAAAGCATTCAAACAAGCAAGAAAACCTATGGATGCTGCAGGAAGAAATGGAAAACCCTCCTCTGCATTCTGTTGTCACGCGTGAAATGACTGCAACAGCTTTGACTTGCAGCCACTTGCCCAGGCAGCCCCCGGGGAGAAGTTCTTGAGCCTCGTGGGTGGAGGACAGGAGTGCACCTCACCTCCTGTGACCTCCCGAGCTGCAGGATAACAGAGCAGAAGGAGCAGTGAGAGCCCATCAGTGCAGCCTTTGGTGCTGTTTTGGCACCTTCTTTGGGTGGAAGGAAGGAGTGGAAAATAGCTGAGGACTGACATTTTACACTGGGATACTTGACGACGCACCCACCACCAGAAATAATACAACAAGGCCCTGGAACACAGGTTTGCTCTGATTAAATCTGTATTTCAAAAAATAGATTCTGAAAGCCAAAGAATCTTTCCGAAAGCAAGGAAAGACGTTGTGAAAGGTGAGAGGATCATTTCAGTGCACGTCGCTCCACCCCACCACCGGTGCATCCAACCACCTCCCTCACCTGGCACCTTTTCCCAGACCCACCAGACTCCAAGGAGGACTTCACACAGCCTCGGGGTGGTTGTGCAAGGCCAACAGGAGGCTGGTTTGCTGGCCCAGCGGCTCCCAACCCTGTCAGCCACATGTTTCACTTGTACCAGCACTACTCATAAGATATGGTGCCACAGCAGGTCATGTCTGAGGAACTCTAATATTCCAGCCCATCTGTTCCGTTTTTTCTATGTGAGCAGTTGCTGCTTCCCCTTTATCCAGTTCTTTACACCCTTGCTTCTGCTGGTACCCATATCCTCATCTTCATCAGCTCTACTAACAACTTCCCCTGTGAGCTCCTACTGAGCTTCATTTTCTTTCTTTTGCATAGAAAAGGAAGTGGGAAATGCTAGAAAACATACCCTTGCATAAAATCTTATGTTAGTACAGCATCATTCCAAAGGTACGTCACGTCAGAAACTTTTAAAAAACAAGAATGAAAACATCAAGAAAATCAAGGTGTTCTTTCAAGACCTTAATTCTTTGATCTTTTAAGATAACCACAGCAAATCTGTTTTCCTAGGCTAGGTTTTCTGGTGTTCTTTCAAGACCTTAATTCTTTGATCGTTTAAGATAACCACAGCAAATCTCTGTTTTCCTAGGCTAGGTTTTCCTTGACGTACATCAGCTGTTCACCCCCAGTGCAATTACTTTGTATTAGCATAAAATGATTTTGAGATGCAGCATTTGGCTAAGTTACCAATACAGAGGTCAACAAAGCACACGGAATTGTGCCTGCTGGGGCAGGGTCACCACTCTCCGACCAGAGAAGCACATTCTCAGGCACGTGTTTTCCATCCCGCTCTTCAGAGGTTGTTCTACAGGTTAATTCTTTCCCCTTGCACAAGCCGTGCTCGGAAGTTCCAAATATCCTTCAAAACAAAAATGAGACAAAGGAAAAGCCTTAAGAGCCAGCAAAACCAGAGATGGAAATAGCTACGGCGTTCTCAGCTCAGCTACCTACCCATAAAACCATGCCAAAAAAAATTACTGAATATTGTTTCAAATCCTAAATGTCAAGAACAAAAATACAGCTCAAACTAAAGAAGAGGTGCAACCTCTGCCCCCCGGAGACAGGTTGGCTGCAGGTTGTTACACGAATGCCAAGATGCCCATCGTTCAATTCTGGAAGGTGGCAGAAGAGGAAATGAGCAGCACAGAGAACATCACCCTTGCAGAAGTCACCCTCCTCGCCTGCTCGTGCACACACTGCCTTCCTCGTACACCTTTTGGTGATCAAAAAAGCTCAGCAACCGACTTGTGAATTCAGGGCCAGAGATGACCATATCTTAGAATCATAGAATTCTCTAGTTTGGAAGGGACCTTTCAGATCATTGAGTCCAACCATCAACCCAACACTGACAAAAGCCATCCCTAAACCATATCTCTAAGCTCTACATCTACCCATCTTTTAAATACCTCCAGGGATGGTAACTCAACGACTTCCCTGGGCAGCCTGTCCCAATGCTTAATAACCCTTTCAGTGTAAACATTTTTCCCAACTTTTCCTGGCCACGTTAGCCCTCCCCACTGCCACCCAGAGGGGAGAAGCCTAAACCCCCTCAAATGACAAAAGAAGAACACGTGAGCAGCCTCAGAGCTGAGCCATCACGCCAGCAGAGTCCACCGCTCCTCCTCACTTATGCTACAACATCAGTCACGTAACGACGGGCTGATCCAACCTGCACCAGCTCAGCTGGCACTGAGAGGGACCAAGGCATGCTCATAAAACCCTCTTTGACAAGCAGAACTGGAGGAGGAACTTCTAGAACTCAAGGGATGTGATGGGGCTGCCCGGAGAGCAAGGTCACCTCTCCAGCACAGCAAGGAGCAGCCTTATGAGCAAAATAGCCCCAAAAAAGCCTGCTGGTCGTCCTCTGAACATCAGGTCTTTTATTCTGCCAAGCATCTCTGCTTGGCACCGCTTGATCTGCCAAACTGGGCATAGCAAAAAGCACGAGTCTGTCACACGAGAGGCCTCTGAACATCAGGTCTTTTATTCTGCCAAAGTGGGCATAGCAAAAAGCATGAGTCTGTCACACCAGAGACACTTAGGAAAGGGACCCGAGCTGGATCGTAGCAAAGGGCTGAGAGCCAAGTCTTACCCGGAGTTCCACGGAAGTCGCGTTGTATTTCTTGCGAACCATTTCTACCAGCTCCTTCTCCAGGTGCTCTTGGCTCGTGTTCTTGACGTCGATGTAGTGGCACTCTGAGCTGGCGAAGTGACAGCTTATGCTCTGCGTGAGGAAATGGGACATCACTCACTGCCACATCCGTCAGAATAGACATCGACGGTGGGAATCAATGGTGGAAAAACAATCTGGTGCATCCCGGACCGTGGACACCCCACCCCTTCCTTACAGACCACGTCAACAAATTCCTTCCTCCCTTCCTAGCACTCCTGCTCTCCTGAGTGTCCCCTTGGAGAAATATTCTTGCTTGCTGACGTGCCCTTCTTCCTTCCCTCCTCTCCCTAACACTCCCCCAGCATGAACTGTGCTACTTGATCTCAGAATATCAGCAACCAGAGTGGGACAAGGGAAAGTTGGGGCTGGAGCAGACCTGGCTCTTCAGTAAGGGTTCTTTCTGCACCCAGACAGTCGCATCAGCCCACTCGTTTGGTAATCAGGTCTTGCTTAAGTGGAGTCTAGAGGAAATAAATAGAAATGCCCCACTGGAAAAAGCTGTTCTCTCATGACACGAGCTGTGCCAGCTGCCAGTGAGATCGTGCCAGGTCTCAAAGGGTGCTGGACCATGACCTGGCTCGGAGAGCTCCGGGATACTCACTGATTTACCCCAAAATGTTGGGATTTGGCACAGTGTGAGGAAGCTCTTGTGTTTCTGCGGGATACTAAACCGGACTGTTGCTCCACCAGCCAGGAAAGAGCCAGCAGATGAGACTCTCAGTACTCAATGTCCTCTCTGCTTTCAGGACTGCAGGAGGAATGAATTCCACACCAGTAAACTCCTACTGGGGCTGAAAGGACAGGCCATATAGTTGATGCAGGCAAAATAAAAATAGAGCAGCCTGTGTTGCAATGCATGAGGGGAAATAGAATCATAGAATCATAGAATCATAGAATTTCCCAGGCCGGAAGGGACCTCCAAGGGTCATCTAGTCCGACCTCCCCGCAGTCAGCAGGGACACCCCCAACTAGACCAGGTTGCCCAGGGCCTCGTCGAGCCTCTCCTTGAATATCTCCAGGGATGGGGCCTCAACCCCCTCCCTGGGCAACCTGTTCCAGTGCTCCACCACCCTCACAGTAAAGAACCCCCTTCTAATCTCCAATCTAAATCTGTTCCCCTCCAGCTTGAAGCCATTGAATACCTGCATTGCTACTAGTGACTACGCTAGAGGCTACAGTTCCTTACATGCCTGGATGAATCCATGTCAGAGAAAGGATCTGGCCTTCAAAGGAGGGCACTTTTACCTGTTTCAGCTGGCTGATCATCATGCAAAATGAATAGATGATGCATAATCAAATCTTTAATAGAAAAATGGGTCGTGTTATCATATAAATAAATACTATTTATTGGATGATGGAGGCTCCTGCTATCCAGAGATGAGCTACCAACAAGGCAGGGGTAAGAAAGAGGAGGTCCTGATATTTCAGACAGCTGAGAGGGAGCTACTGGAAAAGCAAGTACCTCCAGGCAGCTTTCAAACATGGATTCAGCATCTGATTTCTACTCCTGCTCTGTTTTGTCTCAAGCAGCCTGACAGCATGCCCTTCTCCCAAAAGACAGAGATGTTTAAAAATAAAAAGTAAAAAAGAGAGTGTAAAAGTATATTAAGAAGCTAAAAACTCATTAAAAAGTTCATCTACATATTCACCAGCTTGTAAAGGGGAGGGGACAGTTTGATCAGTTTAAAAAAAAATCAAAAATATCAAAAGCTATATCAAGAGATGGTTTCCTACCTTTCGGAACCCTGATGTCTTGTTTATCCCAGAGCCATGAATGAGCAGGGGATGGAAGAACACTGTGTCTCCCTTCTCCATGACAAGGTGCACCTTGGGAGTCTTCTCATCCTCATCAAGCAGCCCATGGAAAAGTTTGTTGGTTTTACCCTAGAAAAATAAAAAGCTGAGTTGAAATCACTCATTTAAAAGTAGAGCAATTGCTGATTCTCAGTGTGAGGGACAGCAGGGACAGTTACCGATCTGGTGTCCTCTGGGCAGTGTATGCCCAACTGAGAGCCTGCCCACTTGCCCACAAGTCTTCCCACTTCAAGCCCAAGCTACAGCAAAATACTACATTTTCTATTTTCTGAAGCTGGATTGAGACAATTAAGAATGTTTCTCAGATGGAGAGAACGGAGAAGAGCATCAGGGAATCCCACAAGTGTGGCCTGATGACACTGTTGGGGTCAGCCTCCTGCTCCCAGTACAACCATCCCAATGCTGGGCCAGGTCAGGAAATACCCGTTCTTAAGAGGAAGATACTGCTTGGTATTTAATTGCATCTAGTTCTTTACTATCCCATTTCTCCTCTTTGGGACAGTACACATGGTCACCAAGCAGGAAAAAAATCATGGGAGGAGAAAAAAACCTCAGACTCAGCAAGGGCAGTGGAAAAGAGTTGCATCTTTGTGCCGCTGTGCCATGACGTGCTGGACAATTTCTAGGTGAAGGTGGGAAGAGAGACAGATCTACCCAGGTAACACGGAGTGTGAGGCCAACCAAGCAACAAGTCAGTGCTTGCACAAACAGAAAAGCCATCACTAAAAATCTCAGCTTTGACCTGCACATCATCCCTCCACGGTGAGCTCTCTCCAGCCAAAATTGGGGTTGGACTAGATGATCTCCAGAGGTCCCTTCCAACCCCATGTGACTCTGTGATTCTGTAAAATGTGGTCCCCTCATTGGGGTTGGACTAGATGATCTCCAGAGGTCCCTTCTAACCCCACGTGACTCTGCGATTCTGTAAAATGTGGTCCCCTCGTGCACGCCCTCCCCCAACCCACCCGTGACACTCTACCTCCCACTGTGGGTAGCCGTGGGGCTTGAGGTGCTGCTTGTGTGTCCCTGGTTGCACGATGAGGCAGCCGTTGTCCTGGTCGGCCCTCTCCATGGCGGTCCAGGAGCAGACGATGCGGGCCGCAGGCCGGAAGGGGAAATAGTGCAAGTCCTGATGCATGGGGTGGAGAAAAGTCTGTTGATCTGCAAGACAGGTTCAAAACCTTCAACCTCATCAAACGTGACACAGCCTTTTTTCTTTCCCGTTAAACCATTGCACTTGCTGGAACACGTCCTGAGAAGCTGCTGCTTGTCACCAGGGAGACTCTGTGGAGTCAGTGTCTGCTCCTGCCCACCGCTGACTTGGAGGCCAAAAGGCCTTCCTTAAACCCCATTCCAAGATTGACCAAGAGCACAGTGATGGAACACGTCCTGAGAAGCTGCTGCTTGTCACCAGGGAGACTCTGTGGAGTCAGTGTCTGCTCCTGCCCATCGCTGACTTGGAGGCCAAAAAGGTTCCTTAAACCCCATTCCAAGATGGACCAAGAGCACAGTGATGGCGGAGCACCTCTCCTATGAAGACAGGCTGAGGGAACTGGGATTGTTCAGCCTGGAGAAGAGAAGGCTCTGGGGAGACCTTATGGCGGCCTTTCAATACCTGAAGGGTGCCTATAGAAGAGCTGGGGAGGGACTCTTTGACGGGAAGTGTAATGATAGAACAAGGGGAAGCGGTTTTAAATTGGAAGAAAAAAGATCCAGATTAGATCTCAGGAAGAAATTTTTTACTATGAGGGTGGTGAGACACTGGAACAGGTTGCCCAGGGAAGTTGTGGCTGCCCCATGCCTGGAGGGGTTCAAGGCCAGGCTGGATGTGGCCTTGAGCAACCTGCTCTAGTGGGAGGTGTCCCTGCCCATGGCAGGGGGGTTGGAACTGGATGATCTTTGAGGTCCCTTCCAACCCAAACCATTCTATGATTCTATGATTCTATGATTCTTGGGTCAGGAGTGGCATGGGGACACCAGGAATGCTGGTAGGCTGCCTGGCTGTGCAGTCCCTGAGAAGGTTCCTTCTGCTGGCCTTCACCACCACCACCCCCGTGCCAAGTTTTCACCATTCACTAGGGCTGCTCTCTGGTTTTGTGAACTTTGACCAGCACGGTGTTGCACAAACATTTCCTTTCAAACAGCTGCACTGTCTGCAGCCACTTGATCCATCGCTGTGTTGCAAGCAGAAATCAACCCTCTCTGTGCTGCAAACAACACAAGTTTATTTAGCCTTCTTTTAAAGAAAAAAAAATTTAAAAATCTCAGTTTATGGACTGCAGCCTCCCTAGACAGTCTACCCAGCACTCTATTAGCCTTCACCCTAGAGACTTTTTTCCATGAAATCTAAACAAAAAAAAAAAATATTTCTGAAGTTTTTTTTGTTATTTCTTTTCCCACTATGGAAATGGAAGCATATCATCCACACCAAAACAGCCTTTTATATATTATTTATATATTTACTTTGCCATGGACTTTGCTCCTCAAATAGATGAAGTTAGGATATTTCCACTTGTGTCACCTGCCATATTATTTAGACTTTGGGCATCTTCAAAAACCCTCCTGAGATCTGCAACTCTATTAGCCTTCGCCCTAGAGGCTTTTTTCCAGGAAGTCTAAACAAAAAAAAAAAAATATTTCTGAAGTTTTGTTTGTTACTTCTTTTCCCACTATGGAAATAGAAACACACATTCACGCCTGTTCTTTCTTACTAACAACTTGTTTACAAGATTTAACCTAGAAAAGAGACAGCTAGAGGGGAGCTCACCAAGGAATCCCCAGGGATCCCAGAGTTTATGTTGAATGGCTGGTGTAGAGTGACCTCACCAGAATTTTAAGTGACAAATCATTATGAACCAGGAGGACTGTGAACTCCCAAAGCACTTGTGAAGTCAATACCGTGGTGGGCAAATGCCAGCCTGTCAAGGTTTTTCAGCTGTTGGCCAAAAAGGGCTGTAAGAGGGTCGTAACCACAGCACAGTCTTGGCTCCAAAATTACTCACTTTGAACCCTTAAGAACAGATATCAGGCAGTTCCTGAGCTGTCACCTTGGCTTATGTGTTAAAAAGGACCTTCAGTGGCTTTGGCAGTGCAAGCCAGTGGCGTTTGCCCTGCAGACCAGCAGGTCCCTGTCACACAGCCCGTATGGTGTTCCCAGCACCATCCACTCTACGGCACCTTCGTGGCTGCAAACCTGCAGCTCCCCCTCTGAAAAGCATTTTAATGAATCTGGCACCGTTTTGCAAGTGGTTTTAACGAGCTGAGTGATTACATTTAATAGCTTTTTCCCCCTTTTTTTTTTTTTTTGGCATTTTTAAATTTTCCTGAAGTCTTTCCCAGTCATCACCATGTCAGCCCGGGCTGCTGGCATGGCTGCGTGGGGACAGTAGCTCTCAGACCAAGCAGGACCAGGTCTCCGAGGGCTGTCTTCACACAGGTGTTTTTCTGAAAGCACGTCTCTGGGTGGCATTTGGCCAACTTTTCCTGGACCTGATCCTTCTGCTGCCCATACCTCATGCCCCCTAGGATCACAGGGTATTTTTAAATGCCTGAAGCCACCAGCACCTCAGTGATTTGATGAAACTGCCACCAGCAGTCTCACGTGTCCCAGAGGCCTTGTTGATACCTCTTTTTGCTTGCACAAGGGCTGGAAGAGAAAGGTACTTGATGTGAAGCAACTGGCCAGGTGCGCCTCGGTATTTTGCAGCCCTCATCTACTGGTGCTTCTTCTGGGCAGCTCTGCTCGGCACGTTACCTACACTTCAGTCTCGGGTCCATACCAGTTGATGGGTGGGGTGTCACTGGTAGGTGACCATGAATATGTAACTGGGACGTTGCTTGGCGATGTCTCCCGTTGACTCCTTATTCAGAATAAATAGTGCACAATAAAACGCTCCCCGGGTTTGTGTGCTGTCATTTCTCTGAGGAAGAGGAGAGGATGCCAGAAGGAACTGGTTCGTGGATGATGACTGTTCTCAGTCAGACCAGCAGGAGTTTCTCACCTGGAGCCCACAAAACCAGCGTGAAAGTCCACATCGGTATCAGCCTTCAGCTGGCATGATGAGAGCTTCAGGTTTTTTCCAGTTCCTGTCTCTTTGGCCAAGGGAAAGGAGATTAAACTGTCACAGGTGGGTCAATACTTTATCTTCACAAATGCCCCCAGGACTGTGAGAGGTAGGAAATTGAGCCAGCATGTGCCCTTGTTGCCAAGAGGGCCAATGGGATCCTGGGCTGCGAAGGGATGAGTGTGACCAGCAGATCGAGGGAGGTCATTCTCCCCCTCTGCTCTGCACTGGTGAGGCCACAACTGGAATACTGCATCCAGTTCTGGGCTCCCCAGTTCAAGAAGGACAGGGAACTACTGGAGGGAGTCCAAAGTAGGGCAGCCAAGATGATTAAGGGATTGGAGCATCTCCCTGATGAGGAAAGGCTGAGAGAGCTGGGGCTCTTTAGCCTGGAGAAGAGAAGGCTGAGGGGAGACCTTAATAATGCTGACAAGTATCTAAAGGGTGGGTTGAGGGAGGATGGAGCCGGACTCTTTTCAGTGGTTCCCAGTGACAGGACGAGGGGCAACGGGCACAAGCTGGATCATGGGAAGTTCCACTCAAATATGAGGAAGAACTTCTTTATGGTGGGGGTGGCAGAGCCCTGGCACAGGCTGCCCAGGGAGGTCGTGGAGTCCCCTTCTCTGGAGATCTTCAGGACCTGCCTGGATGCAGCCCTAAGTGATGTGCTCTGGGCAACCCTGCTTTGGCAGGGGAGTTGGACCAGATGATCTCTAGAATTCCTTGATTCCGTGAAAGGGATGTGCCTCCTTGGGAACTAAGGAACGGAAGCTGCACCCTCAATTCATCCTTGGATGCAAAAATAGGGTGAAGAAACAAGGGCTCATTGCTTTGCTTCAACCCTGGGGGTAAACAAGGGGTGGGGAAGACTGAGGTAATGAGCTGCTGCTGGAGCAGGAGCAGTTGTCTGGGATAGAAATTAAGGAATGTCCACCCAGGGACAACAGAGGATGAAGATGTTACTGCAGAGAAACGACACCTTTCCTGCACTGCCAGGAAACCAAACCCTAGGAGATGATACATGGTTGTGGGTTTGGTTTTCTACCCAGAAAGCGAAGTGCTGGAGACTGAGACAAATTTCAAGCCATGAATTTCCAGTGTAGCACATGCTTTGGAAATCTGTGGCTGCAGAGTCTCTGCTGGCTGGGATGGGTGGGAAGAGGAACCAGAAAGCACGTACCAGGTAGATCCCTTGCACAGAACCTCACCTTTACATGAACTGGTGAAGCATCCCTTGGACTCCAGCCCTTGCTCAAATATCCTGTCAGGAAGTGTTTGTAGGTCCTTACTCTCCAAGGATAACGGTCCTGTGCCCATGAGCGTGTAGCTTTGCTGAGAAGAAGCCTAGGAGCCTTGCTGGATCTGGGTCTGCCCAGGGATCAGACTTCTTGGGATTGCTAGGATGCAGCTGAGCTGGCCTTGCAGGCAGTTGAGGGAAGTTGCCTAAGCTTAGTCCTCACCAGACTGGAGTATCCTTGACCCGTTGTTGTAGGAAAGAGTGAGGACCCAAGTCTCCCATCAGGTGCTGAGTTTAGATGGTCTGTGATGTCTTTGATGGGGTTTGTTCTTCTGAAAGAGGAACACTTAAGCCTAAATCCATAGGCAGAGATGGGCAAATTTTTAAAAACAAAGCTAAAGTTCTTCTTTTCCTTCGCTCTCCCAGCCATAGTAAGAGAAATTCAGTGCCTGGAAATTCTGGGAATCTGATGGACGCCTGTAGCTCTTCTCTGTGGTCACAGCTCCCTCTGTGGTCAACTCAACTACATCAATAACAACAGACAGGAAAGTCTCTCCACAGATCCTGTGTTGTGAACCAGATGGGATACTTTCAGTCCTCACAAAGATCCAAAGGAGAGCACCAGCTGGTCTGTGAGCTCAGCAAAGTCATAGAGGAGCCCCTAACTCACTGGAAATCATTCAATCAGGCCCATCCAGCAAGCAAAGAACAGGCTGAGAAGGTCCAACTCTGGAGAGGCATCATGGTACATCTTCCCAACAGTGGCATCGATGCCAGGGTTATACAGAGGGCATGGGAAGAGACGCAGAAACCAGGACACTCAAAAGCTGTCCTTAAGTCTCCTGCTCAACAGATTTCTTGGTGTTGTGGTCAAACCAGAGGCTACCGAGAGGATATGTCTCTCTCCAGATGGACACCACAGCCCACACACCTCACCCCACCACAAGAGTTTAGGACCAACGCAATAACTGTGTTCAAACCTTACCTTGTTTAAAAAGCATTCAAACAAGCAAGAAAACCTATGGATGCTGCAGGAAGAAATGGAAAACCCTCCTCTGCATTCTGTTGTCACGCGTGAAATGACTGCAACAGCTTTGACTTGCAGCCACTTGCCCAGGCAGCCCCCGGGGAGAAGTTCTTGAGCCTCGTGGGTGGAGGACAGGAGTGCACCTCACCTCCTGTGACCTCCCGAGCTGCAGGATAACAGAGCAGAAGGAGCAGTGAGAGCCCATCAGTGCAGCCTTTGGTGCTGTTTTGGCACCTTCTTTGGGTGGAAGGAAGGACTGGAAAATAGCTGAGGACTGACATTTTACACTGGGATACTTGACGACGCACCCACCACCAGAAATAATACAACAAGGCCCTGGAACACAGGTTTGCTCTGATTAAATCTGTATTTCAAAAAATAGATTCTGAAAGCCAAAGAATCTTTCCGAAAGCAAGGAAAGACGTTGTGAAAGGTGAGAGGATCATTTCAGTGCACGTCGCTCCACCCCACCACCGGTGCATCCAACCACCTCCCTCACCTGGCACCTTTTCCCAGACCCACCAGACTCCAAGGAGGACTTCACACAGCCTCGGGGTGGTTGTGCAAGGCCAACGGGAGGCTGGTTTGCTGGCCCAGCGGCTCCCAACCCTGTCAGCCACATGTTTCACTTGTACCAGCACTACTCATAAGATATGGTGCCACAGCAGGTCATGTCTGAGGAACTCTAATATTCCAGCCCATCTGTTCCGTTTTTTCTATGTGAGCAGTTGCTGCTTCCCCTTTATCCAGTTCTTTACACCCTTGCTTCTGCTGGTACCCATATCCTCATCTTCATCAGCTCTACTAACAACTTCCCCTGTGAGCTCCTACTGAGCTTCATTTTCTTTCTTTTGCATAGAAAAGGAAGTGGGAAATGCTAGAAAACATACCCTTGCATAAAATCTTATGTTAGTACAGCATCATTCCAAAGGTATGTCACATCAGAAACTTTTACAAAACAAGAATGAAAACATCAAGAAAATCAAGGTGTTCTTTCAAGACCTTAATTCTTTGATCGTTTAAGATAACCACAGCAAATCTCTGTTTTCCTAGGCTAGGTTTTCCTTGACGTACATCAGCTGTTCACCCCCAGTGCAATTACTTTGTATTAGCATAAAATGATTTTGAGATGCAGCATTTGGCTAAGTTACCAATACAGAGGTCAACAAAGCACACGGAATTGTGCCTGCTGGGGCAGGGTCACCACTCTCCGACCAGAGAAGCACATTCTCAGGCACGTGTTTTCCATCCCGCTCTTCAGAGGTTGTTCTACAGGTTAATTCTTTCCCCTTGCACAAGCCGTGCTCGGAAGTTCCAAATATCCTTCAAAACAAAAATGAGACAAAGGAAAAGCCTTAAGAGCCAGCAAAACCAGAGATGGAAATAGCTACGGCGTTCTCAGCTCAGCTACCTACCCATAAAACCATGCCAAAAAAAATTACTGAATATTGTTTCAAATCCTAAATGTCAAGAACAAAAATACAGCTCAAACTAAAGAAGAGGTGCAACCTCTGCCCCCCGGAGACAGGTTGGCTGCAGGTTGTTACACGAATGCCAAGATGCCCATCGTTCAATTCTGGAAGGTGGCAGAAGAGGAAATGAGCAGCACAGAGAACATCACCCTTGCAGAAGTCACCCTCCTCGCCTGCTCGTGCACACACTGCCTTCCTCGTACACCTTTTGGTGATCAAAAAAGCTCAGCAACCGACTTGTGAATTCAGGGCCAGAGATGACCATATCTTAGAATCATAGAATTCTCTAGTTTGGAAGGGACCTTTCAGATCATTGAGTCCAACCATCAACCCAACACTGACAAAAGCCATCCCTAAACCATATCTCTAAGCTCTACATCTACCCATCTTTTAAATACCTCCAGGGATGGTAACGACTTCCCTGGGCAGCCTGTCCCAATGCTTAATAACCCTTTCAGTGTAAACATTTTTCCCAACTTTTCCTGGCCACGTTAGCCCTCCCCACTGCCACCCAGAGGGGAGAAGCCTAAACCCCCTCAAATGACAAAAGAAGAACACGTGAGCAGCCTCAGAGCTGAGCCATCACGCCAGCAGAGTCCACCGCTCCTCCTCACTTATGCTACAACATCAGTCACGTAACGACGGGCTGATCCAACCTGCACCAGCTCAGCTGGCACTGAGAGGGACCAAGGCATGCTCATAAAACCCTCTTTGACAAGCAGAACTGGAGGAGGAACTTCTAGAACTCAAGGGATGTGATGGGGCTGCCCGGAGAGCAAGGTCACCTCTCCAGCACAGCAAGGAGCAGCCTTATGAGCAAAATAGCCCCAAAAAAGCCTGCTGGTCGTCCTCTGAACATCAGGTCTTTTATTCTGCCAAAGTGGGCATAGCAAAAAGCATGAGTCTGTCACACCAGAGACACTTAGGAAAGGGACCCGAGCTGGATCGTAGCAAAGGGCTGAGAGCCAAGTCTTACCCGGAGTTCCACGGAAGTCGCGTTGTATTTCTTGCGAACCATTTCTACCAGCTCCTTCTCCAGGTGCTCTTGGCTCGTGTTCTTGACGTCGATGTAGTGGCACTCTGAGCTGGCGAAGTGACAGCTTATGCTCTGCGTGAGGAAATGGGACATCACTCACTGCCACATCCGTCAGAATAGACATCGACGGTGGGAATCAATGGTGGAAAAACAATCTGGTGCATGCCGGACCGTGGACACCCCACCCCTTCCTTACAGACCACGTCAACAAATTCCTTCCTCCCTTCCTAGCACTCCTGCTCTCCTGAGTGTCCCCTTGGAGAAATATTCTTGCTTGCTGACGTGCCCTTCTTCCTTCCCTCCTCTCCCTAACACTCCCCCAGCATGAACTGTGCTACTTGATCTCAGAATATCAGCAACCAGAGTGGGACAAGGGAAAGTTGGGGCTGGAGCAGACCTGGCTCTTCAGTAAGGGTTCTTTCTGCACCCAGACAGTCGCATCAGCCCACTCGTTTGGTAATCAGGTCTTGCTTAAGTGGAGTCTAGAGGAAATAAATAGAAATGCCCCACTGGAAAAAGCTGTTCTCTCATGACACGAGCTGTGCCAGCTGCCAGTGAGATCGTGCCAGGTCTCAAAGGGTGCTGGACCATGACCTGGCTCGGAGAGCTCCGGGATACTCACTGATTTACCCCAAAATGTTGGGATTTGGCACAGTGTGAGGAAGCTCTTGTGTTTCTGCGGGATACTAAACCGGACTGTTGCTCCACCAGCCAGGAAAGAGCCAGCAGATGAGACTCTCAGTACTCAATGTCCTCTCTGCTTTCAGGACTGCAGGAGGAATGAATTCCACACCAGTAAACTCCTACTGGGGCTGAAAGGACAGGCCATATAGTTGATGCAGGCAAAATAAAAATAGAGCAGCCTGTGTTGCAATGCATGAGGGGAAATAGAATCATAGAATCATAGAATCATAGAATTTCCCAGGCCGGAAGGGACCTCCAAGGGTCATCTAGTCCGACCTCCCCGCAGTCAGCAGGGACACCCCCAACTAGACCAGGTTGCCCAGGGCCTCGTCGAGCCTCTCCTTGAATATCTCCAGGGATGGGGCCTCAACCACCTCCCTGGGCAACCTGTTCCAGTGCTCCACCACCCTCACAGTAAAGAACCCCCTTCTAATCTCCAATCTAAATCTGTTCCCCTCCAGCTTGAAGCCATTGAATACCTGCATTGCTACTAGTGACTACGCTAGAGGCTACAGTTCCTTACATGCCTGGATGAATCCATGTCAGAGAAAGGATCTGGCCTTCAAAGGAGGGCACTTTTACCTGTTTCAGCTGGCTGATCATCATGCAAAATGAATAGATGATGCATAATCAAATCTTTAATAGAAAAATGGGTCGTGTTATCATATAAATAAATACTATTTATTGGATGATGGAGGCTCCTGCTATCCAGAGATGAGCTACCAACAAGGCAGGGGTAAGAAAGAGGAGGTCCTGATATTTCAGACAGCTGAGAGGGAGCTACTGGAAAAGCAAGTACCTCCAGGCAGCTTTCAAACATGGATTCAGCATCTGATTTCTACTCCTGCTCTGTTTTGTCTCAAGCAGCCTGACAGCATGCCCTTCTCCCAAAAGACAGAGATGTTTAAAAATAAAAAGTAAAAAAGAGAGTGTAAAAGTATATTAAGAAACTAAAAACTCATTAAAAAGTTCATCTACATATTCACCAGCTTGTAAAGGGGAGGGGACAGTTTGATCAGTTTAAAAAAAAATCAAAAATATCAAAAGCTATATCAAGAGATGGTTTCCTACCTTTCGGAACCCTGATGTCTTGTTTATCCCAGAGCCATGAATGAGCAGGGGATGGAAGAACACTGTGTCTCCCTTCTCCATGACAAGGTGCACCTTGGGAGTCTTCTCATCCTCATCAAGCAGCCCATGGAAAAGTTTGTTGGTTTTGCCCTAGAAAAATAAAAAGCTGAGTTGAAATCACTCATTTAAAAGTAGAGCAATTGCTGATTCTCAGTGTGAGGGACAGCAGGGACAGTTACCGATCTGGTGTCCTCTGGGCAGTGTATGCCCAACTGAGAGCCTGCCCACTTGCCCACAAGTCTTCCCACTTCAAGCCCAAGCTACAGCAAAATACTACATTTTCTATTTTCTGAAGCTGGATTGAGACAATTAAGAATGTTTCTCAGATGGAGAGAACGGAGAAGAGCATCAGGGAATCCCACAAGTGTGGCCTGATGACACTGTTGGGGTCAGCCTCCTGCTCCCAGTACAACCATCCCAATGCTGGGCCAGGTCAGGAAATACCCGTTCTTAAGAGGAAGATACTGCTTGGTATTTAATTGCATCTAGTTCTTTACTATCCCATTTCTCCTCTTTGGGACAGTACACATGGTCACCAAGCAGGAAAAAAATCATGGGAGGAGAAAAAAACCTCAGACTCAGCAAGGGCAGTGGAAAAGAGTTGCATCTTTGTGCCGCTGTGCCATGACGTGCTGGACAATTTCTAGGTGAAGGTGGGAAGAGAGACAGATCTACCCAGGTTACACGGAGTGTGAGGCCAACCAAGCAACAAGTCAGTGCTTGCACAAACAGAAAAGCCATCACTAAAAATCTCAGCTTTGACCTGCACATCATCCCTCCACGGTGAGCTCTCTCCAGCCAAAATTGGGGTTGGACTAGATGATCTCCAGAGGTCCCTTCTAACCCCACGTGACTCTGCGATTCTGTAAAATGTGGTCCCCTCGTGCACGCCCTCCCCCAACCCACCCGTGACACTCTACCTCCCACTGTGGGTAGCCGTGGGGCTTGAGGTGCTGCTTGTGTGTCCCTGGTTGCACGATGAGGCAGCCGTTGTCCTGGTCGGCCCTCTCCATGGCGGTCCAGGAGCAGACGATGCGGGCCGCAGGCCGGAAGGGGAAATAGTGCAAGTCCTGATGCATGGGGTGGAGAAAAGTCTGTTGATCTGCAAGACAGGTTCAAAACCTTCAACCTCATCAAACGTGACACAGCCTTTTCTTTCCCGTTAAACCACTGCACTTGCTGGAACACGTCCTGAGAAGCTGCTGCTTGTCACCGGGGAGACTCTGTGGAGTCAGTGTCTGCTCCTGCCCACCGCTGACTTGGAGGCCAAAAGGCCTTCCTTAAACCCCATTCCAAGATTGACCAAGAGCACAGTGATGGTTCAGAGGGATGGAGCACCTCTCCTATGAAGACAGGCTGAGGGAACTGGGATTGTTCAGCCTGGAGAAGAGAAGGCTCTGGGGAGACCTTATGGCGGCCTTTCAATACCTGAAGGGTGCCTATAGAAGAGCTGGGGAGGGACTCTTTGACGGGAAGTGTAATGATAGAACAAGGGGAAGCGGTTTTAAATTGGAAGAAAAAAGATCCAGATTAGATCTCAGGAAGAAATTTTTTACTATGAGGGTGGTGAGACACTGGAACAGGTTGCCCAGGGAAGTTGTGGCTGCCCCATGCCTGGAGGGGTTCAAGGCCAGGCTGGATGTGGCCTTGAGCAACCTGCTCTAGTGGGAGGTGTCCCTGCCCATGGCAGGGGGGTTGGAACTGGATGATCTTTGAGGTCCCTTCCAACCCAAACCATTCTATGATTCTATGATTCTATGATTCTTGGGTCAGGAGTGGCATGGGGACACCAGGAATGCTGGTAGGCTGCCTGGCTGTGCAGTCCCTGAGAAGGTTCCTTCTGCTGGCCTTCACCACCACCAACCCCCTGCCAACTTTTCACCATTCACTCGGGCTGCTCTCTGGTTTTGTGAACTTTGACCAGCACCATGTTGCACAAACCCTTCCTTTCAAACAGCCACACTGTCTGCAGCCACATGATCCATCACTGTGTTGCAAGCAGAAATCAACCCTCTCTGTGCTGCAAACAACACAAGTTTATTTAGCCTTCTTTTAAAGAAAAAAAAATTTAAAAATCTCAGTTTATGGACTGCAGCCTCCCTAGACAGTCTACCCAGCACTCTATTAGCCTTCACCCTAGAGACTTTTTTCCATGAAATCTAAACAAAAAAAAAAAATATTTCTGAAGTTTTTTTTGTTATTTCTTTTCCCACTATGGAAATGGAAGCATATCATCCACACCAAAACAGCCTTTTATATATTATTTATATATTTACTTTGCCATGGACTTTGCTCCTCAAATAGATGAAGTTAGGATATTTCCACTTGTGTCACCTGCCATATTATTTAGACTTTGGGCATCTTCAAAAACTCTCCTGAGATCTGCACCTTTAGCAATCCTCAAAGATATTGAAACTTGCAAATATGCAGCAGCTTCCCACTTCTTGTCTGTTATTGTTTTGTTTTTACTTTAAAAATACAGTCACCTGTTGAACTTCCAAACTGAAAAAATACCAACTTTCTATGGAGCATTTCAGATGACAAGTGGAGATGACTTTTTGTTTTTACTTTAAAAATACAGTCACCTGTTGAACTTCCAAACTGAAAAAATACCAACTTTCTATGGAGCATTTCAGATGACAAGCGGAGATGACTTGAACAAACTCAGTATTTTAATAACTCGATGTACCACGTGTCTGCTCAGACGCTGCACATCTGAGAGTAACAAACGAAGCTCAGGTCTCAACCTGGATAAAACTGAAACAGCTTATGCAGAATCAAAGCTACTTTGAAAAACTGTAATATGGTTAGTTTCGTTCTTTTCCTCTGTCCCTGCCCATCACCCTCATGTAAATTATGATCTTGATTTCCAGCAGCAGGAGCCAAAGCCTGCATCCTGGGGTGCATCAAGAAGAGCGTGACCAGCAGGTCAAGGGAGGTCATCCTGCCCCTCTGCTCTGCCCTGGGGAGGCCCCATCTGGAGCACTGTGTCCAGTTCTGGGCTCCCCAGGTCAAGAAGGACAGGGAACTGCTGGAGAGGGGACAGCAGAGGGCTACAAAGATGATGAGGGGCCTGGAGCATCTCCCTTACGAGGAGAGGCTGAGGGACTTGGGTCTTTTTAGTCTGGAGAAGGCTGAGGGGGGATCTGATCAATGCTTATAAATACTTAAAGGGAGGGTGTTAAGAGGATGGGACCAGTCGGCTGGTCTTTTTTCAGTGGTGCCCAGTGACAGGACAAGAGGGTAGTGGGCACAAACAGGAACATAAGAGGTTCCACCTAAACATGAGGAGGAACTTCTTTACTTTGAGGGTGGCAGAGCCCTGGAACAAGCTGCCCAGGGAGGTGGTGGAGTCTCCTTCTCTGGAGACATTCAAAACCCACCTAGACAAGTTCCTGTGCAACCTGCTCTGGGTGGACCTGCTCTGGCAGGAGGGTTGGACTGCATGATCTCCAGAGGTCCCCTCCAACCCCCTGTGATTCTGTGAAAACCAGCCTCAAAACCTGCCTTTTGACACCTATTCAAGTATCTTCATATCAAAGCGCTGAGCGTGCAACAGCTGTCACTGCAGCCAGGAGCAGACAAACTCTGGGCAAAGGATGACCTGTATTTATTGCCTTTTACTGAGGTCCACAGAGGCACCTGTTTTCGACACGTTTGGAAAGTTGAGCTCAAAAAGCACATCATGTGTTAAACCCTGGGCCTTTACACAAGTGCTGCTGGCTGAGCGAGGAGCTCGCTGGCCCGCTTTGGACGTGCGAGTGGTGCAGCCAAGGCAATCACCATCTTTAGCAAACAAACACCCACTGAACATTGAAAGACAAGAAATATTATCTTAGTAAGCCAAAGTTAAAAAAACCACCCAAACTATTACCGAAGTGGCCTTGTAAATGTTCAAAATTATTTGGTTTAAATTTGTCTCACTTTATTCAAAGAACTTTTTCTAAAATACTACGTTCAATTTTGGCCAGATAGGGAGCATACACACAACAATTTCGCTATTTTTCTCTTATCCATGTTTTCCTTACCAGAATCTGGAAGCTTATTTATCAGCATGGTGTGCATGGCCATGATGTTGGGCCCTGTGAAGCATTCAACATATCTGAGGACCTACAGGGAGGAAAGCATTAGAAAAAATTATTAGAGACATCCAAGATAAGAGGAAAGATTTCTGAAGAAGCTCTGGGACCTGGATGTTTGGCTGAGGACCAAGGTGCAGGAGGAGGAGGTTGGGATGAGGGGATGGATGGATGCAGGATGTGGCATGGCACACAAACAGGTATGGTGGTAGGAGGCCAAGACAGAAGATGGTGCAGCTGGGTGGAGTTGAGAAGATGGGGAGGGTCAGACTTCCACAAAGCTATGGTTTTCCACCACAACATGAATATTGGCTGCAAAGCTGGACCTGCCCAGAGAGCGGATGCTTTGCCTGGATAAAAGACATTCAGAAAATGTTGCTGATCTGTCCTACTGCCCCCACACAGTTTGGGTTAGTCACATTCCTGACTGGCTCCGCGCCACAGGGACAGAGGACAACTGCTTTAATTCTTCTGCCCTGACCACCATCCATCCTGTGTTCAAGCAGAACACTCTTAAAAGATGGCTTGATACTCCTTCCTCACATATTTACTTACGGGAGTGACATACAGGGCCTCTAAGGCATAAAAGATACAGCTTTAGTGGAGCCAAAAAGCTCCTTCGCGCAGGCATTGAAACATAGATGCATTCGTAGAGGCTCTTCCACCACCCCCACCACCCCTCTTTTTGCTGGGTTTTTAAAATTATCTATTTATTTTACCTCTGGCAGAGTACAGTATCGGAACAGTTCTTTGTCCTCCTGGAAGTCCTGCACTTTATTAACTACTTTTTCAGACTGACCATACTGGGATCTCAGGGACTCGTCTTTCATAATCATAGCTCCTGGTGGAGTCACTTCTCTTTTACAGATCCTCACAAACTCCTTCCTGCAAAAGCAGAGGGAATGTCCATGTTGGGAGAGCTCAGCTTCACCCGGTTTCCCAGAGCTCCCTCAGGATGCTGCTGAGCACAGGACCCCCCAGCACCTCAGGCAAGTGCCCCATACCTGAAGCGCTCAATGTCTTCGTCAGAAACGAGCTTCTTAATGAGCAGATACCCATTATCTTCATAGAACTGCCTTTGCTCGGTGGTGAGGACATCGTTGTCCAGGGTGTAGCTGAGACACAGAGGAGAAACACGTTAGTAGGGCTGGGCAGAACAGTGGGAAGGTGGTGACACGTGGGGGATCAGTGGCTGCTGGGGTGAATTGGGGAGCAGAAAAGCTGGGATGGGTCCTCAGCAGTGGGAAAGCCAGGATGGGTGCTCAGCAGCTTTACTCTCAACAGAGACACTGAAGTACAGAGGAATAATCTCTGCAGTCAGATTATCCACTTGGACACTTTCAAGATGCATGGTGAAGCTTTTTTATTAAACTATAGTGAAACAAAGGAGAATATGAAAGGCTGAGGGACTTGGGTCTTTTTAGTCTGGAGAAGAGACTGAGGGGGGATCTAATCAATGCACACAAATACGTAAAAGGGGGGGTGTCGGGAGGACAGGGCTGGTCTTTTTTCAGTGGTGCCCCTTGACAGGACAAGAGGAAATGGGCACAAACTTGAACATAAGAAGTTCCACCTAAACATGAGGAGGAACTCTGTGACTTCGAGGGTGGCAGAGCCCTGGAACAAGCTGCCCAGGAAGGTGGTGGAGTCTCCTTCTCCAGAGACATTCCAAACCCACCTGGACACGTTCCTGTGCAACCTGTTCTAGGGGGACCTGCTCCGTCAGGGAGGTTGGACTAGATGATCTCCAGAGGTCCCTCCAACCCCATATCATTCTGTGATTCTGTAATATACCCTTGCAAAATGAAAGGCCGCACGATGTCTGGTGATTAACGTGTGTGTTAGCGTAGAAAAAGGAATTAAGTTATGCTGGTTACTTTTTTTTTTGTCTCTACAGAGGAAGATAGAGCTTACCGAAACCTCCCTGATTGCTGAGGAACAGCACTAACTTGGGCTGAAGTAGGAACGCTTGTCTGGGATGGAAATTAAGGAATATACACACTCAAGCACAATAGAGTAGAACATCTATACACGTGTCCTGAATCCTAGAATGTAGTTCATCATGAAGTTAAGTGCCACGCTGGACACTCACTTCATGTTCTTCTTGCTTCTAAAAAATTCTTTCCCACCTTTGGAGCAGCACATCTGGCAGAGAAATATGAAATAACAGCATGGTACAGCCTTGTCCACGCCTATAGAAAGGTCAGTACAAAATGCCTGAGACTCTAGAGCAGTTCATAGGCCTCAATTCATCTCCCAGAACATCAAGTCACTCAATGAGGTGCTCAGTGGAGATGTTTATTTGCCCAGTTTCCCTCCCCATGCTTCAGAGAGCAGCCAAACCTACCCAAAAACCTACGTTGTCTCCTGGAGGTACTTCTCCATCTCTCCCCTCCTAACATGAGTGTGCCAAATTTGGAGCCAGAAGTTATATGGGGTGAACCTGGGCCTTCAAATTCCCAGGGGTGCAAACCCTCACCTTCTATCCAGTTACTGCAGAGATTAGGTCCCTCCCAAACTTGATAGGGAGAGCACAAAGAGAGGAAAGCTATGGGCTTGTCCTCCACCTCAACTCACTTCAACAGGTTTAAATAACCACAGCTGTGTTCTCCTGTGCAGAGAGAGGCCTTCTCACCCACAGAGCAATTAAAGCTCACTTGCTAATGAAGCCTCACAAGAACTGCACATGGAACTGAAGCGTCACCTAGGAGCAAGGACAAAAAAAGAACATTTTCCTGCATATCTCTGGGTCTACACATGCATGTCTGGAGACCACTGTGCTTTGGGATTTTATGTAAACCAAAGACTTTCCTCACCACTGCTCACCACTACCTTTAAAATGTCCCATAAAAGCATGCACACTTCTGGAATAAGAAATAGGTTTCACCACAACAGTTGTGTCTACGGCCCTACTCCAGGAAGCTTAAAAATTAGCTGGTCAAGAGTCACATACAGTGGGAGAAGAAACACGACACACGCAAAAATTTGTAGCAAAAAAAGAATCATAGAATTCTGTCTCAAATGATGAGCCAAAGGGAGGAAAAGGTTCTGAGAACTGGATGGAAGAGAGAGGGAAGGAAGAGGACATGGGGAGACCAGGTGGAACCCACCACAGCAGGCCCCAGAGTAAGGGATTCCCCAACTGAGGGCATTACTGCTCCACACACCACATTTCAGATCCAAATTCAGGCACCTAAATGTCCACAGATAGCTGATGGGGACACAGGACCTGGTTGAACCCCGGCTGTGGTACCCTCCTCAGCACACCACCACCTCCCAGATGTGGGGGACAGCAGACAAGTCCACCAAACGCCAGACTCCATTTGAACACCTTCCTCCTTCCTTTGCAGCACCTCTTCCTCTCACTGGTTTTGCTCTTGTCACCTTTACAAAGCTCAAAGGACAAGTTTGGGTGGCTTGGACAACTAAAAACAGGAGGCACATGGGCTGGGAAGGAGCTGCCACCTCCAGCAGCTCATTTTGGTGATGACATGGGGTATTTAAACCTCCCCTCACACACACCATCTTGGGACTAACGTATTCACAGATATGTTAACCAACTGAGAAGGCAATATAATACTTTTGGATGAACTGAAGCACCGAGAGGTTCAAGATCCCCGGGAGCTTTTCCAAAGCATCTCCCTGCAGAGTCTTGAGGGATGGTGCAAATGCCTGCGCATCTAAAACAAGCACAATAAACTTGTGTCATTCTCTCAGAAACCATCTCAGAGACAGCTGCTGAGATGGTCCTGGCCTGAGAGCCACCACCATCAGGGTTTGACCAGCAGCAGCCAAACACCCAAATCACTCCAGTGGGAGCAGTTGCTTCCTGAACCTCCCTTCTTTGTCAGCATTTTGAGGAAACCCTCACCTCGACAGTTGGCCTGCTGGAGTTTTTTTCCCCCTGTGTCCCAAACCAGGCAGCACCCAAGCTGAATTCACAGCTGTAGGAGTGAAGGTCTTCTACAGGCTCTTGTCAATGTGGCTTTTCCTCAGTTGCCTTCCCATAAGGAGGTAAGTGCTGGTGTCACCGATGCAGCCCTTCCCTCTGGCTCCTGCACCAAGCTCCCAAGAAAAACCTGCCCCATTTCACCTCTCGCTGCTTCCTCTCCTTCCTGAGGCTGCATGGGGAGGACTCTGGGAAGGCAGACTTTTTCCCTTCTGTGTAGAAAGAACTGATCTTCCAATAAACCAGCACAACCAGCACACACCAATCTCTAACATACCGATTCCCAATAGCAACTACAGGGAGGAAACTGGGTGTTTACAACATGGTATTAAACTCTCTACTATGCAGATTTAATTTTAAATAAAGAGGGAAGATCTGGATGCTGCCTTCTCCAGGGGAAGGTTGGAGGCTGGGATGAGCCAGCAGAAGGCATCTGACCTCCTCTGCAGGTCTCAGGAAGCAGCGAGAGAGGGGTGCACACACCTGCACCCCAACAGAGCAGGGCAGAGACCCCGTGGACTTTGGGGGGTTTTCAGGGTTTAGGTTTCCATCAAGACATTTCTATTAAGACCCTTCATAAAAGGAGAGGGAAGGAAAACTGACTGTCTCACCCAATTCATCAAACCAGAGATTACAACAAAACCTCTGCACTGAGATAAATACATCAAATAAATCTATTCTTACAAGATTCTATCATTTGTTTTATCCACACGCCTTTCTTATTCCAGCCCGATTAAGTTATGTTTTTGTCCGACGCTCTTTGCATCAGGACCACTGTAGCTGGATTTACAAACAAACCAGCTTGAGCAGCTCCTCTCCTTACTTACTTGCTCCCTCTGGATAACCAGGGAGCTTTTCCTAGCCTTTATTTCCAATTTTGTGTTCCTGCTTGTGCCTTTGCCTTATTGACTCTGAGTCAACTACTATCCATCTATCTTCATATTTGTAATATATTTGAAGGCTCCTACACGCTGTTGGATCCTCTTCACCAATTTATTATAATTCAGAGGTAACTTGTCGGCATTTGGCTCTCACTGAGAATCAGCAGTATTTAATTTTTTTTTTCTTTTAAAAAAAGCAGGATTTATGGCAGCAGCTTTAAAAACACTACCGACCAGCAGTCTGTCTTCATTTAACTTTTGGAAACACGGGACAGACCGAAGCAAAACCTTCTCCCTGCCCTGCTTTCCTTCCCTTGATCTGTTGTAAGGCCGGCAGCCCCCAACATTTCCACCTCACTTCCCCCCCCACAAACCAAGCCCCCCATGTTTCTCCTGCTGCTGGTTTACTGGCCAAACCTGTCCCTCTCACCGAAGCCTGAGACTCGCTGTGCCGTTCCTCCCGCCTTGCAGAGTTTATCTCTCCCAAACCCACGAAATTTGGAGGAGGAAAATTCACCACGGGTCTCCCCCCAGGGTTGGCAAGGGGGGGCTTATGTGCCATGGTGGGGGGTAGAGGGATGAGGAGACGTGGATGGCTCATCAGATGCACATCCCAGGTCACAGGGGTGAAGCTCAGGGAGGAAGCACCAGGCAGCAAGAGGCTTTTGGGGTGGGATGGAGGCTGACCCCAAAATATGCATTTGGGCTGCCGGGGGAAGCGCTGCCCCAATACATCCCAGCTCGCCAAGGGGCTGCATGGGGGGCACGGCCCCCCCCCTGCACCTCACCACCCAATAACCAAGGCACGGAGACACCGTCCCTGTGTCCTTCCCGGGCAGGGTGTCCTTGTAGGGCAAACCACTGCAGAACCCCCCCCTCAGTGCTCACCCCCCAAACCGGCAGGGTGCGGGGAGCCAGGGGCAAAGCTCGCTGGGGCGGGAGAAACAGAACCCTGACCCCAACGTCCCCCTGCTCTATCTGCCCCCAAACCTCTTCCCGGCCTCACGTCAGAAAGGATACGGGAGCAGGGGCTGCTCCCAGCCGCGGGGAGAGGTGCCGGAGGATGACGTCCAGCCGAGCCGCCGGCCCTGACTTCTTCCCGAGCTGCTCCATCCCGGCCGGGCAAACCGGAGGGCTCGGTCCCCAGCCTGACCCGAGGAACGCAGCCGGGGAGGAGCAGGGCCCCGTCGGCCTCCGCGGCCTTGGCCTGGGCCGCACATGCGCCAGCGGCCGTGCATGCTCAGAAAGGCCTCCCGAACGCCGCCGGCAGCCAGGGCTTGGCAGGGTTCGCAGATGGGAGGGCCTGCTGCCGGCCAGGACGTTGGTGGGGAACGCTCATTGCTCCTTCCCCTCCCTCTCCTTTCCTGTGTTTTTTCCCCCCTTCTCTGCCAGCAGTCACCGGGCCGCAGGGATTTCATCAGCCCCTGTGTGGGGGAGAAACAGCTGGCACCCTCAGGCACGGAGCACAGAATGATGTTCTCTTTATCTCCTGCCCCTACAGAGAACGGCAGAGCTTGCCTCATCCCTCCGTGAACCAGTCTGGGGGGATTTTTATGGCCCCGCTGCCACCCCAGCACGGTGGTGGAGGGGTTGTTTCCCAAATACCTCGTCTGAACTGACAGAGATCTGGGATAGAATCATAGAATCATACAGGGTTGGAAGGGAGCTCGGGAGATCATCTAGTCCAACCCCCCTGCCAAAGCAGGTCCACCCAGAGCAGGTTGCATAGGAACATCTCCAGGCGGGTTTTGAATGTCTCCAGAGAAGGAGACTCCACCACCTCTCTGGGCAGCCTGTTCCAGGGCTCTGCCACCCTCACAGGAAAGAAGTTCCTCCTCATGTTTAGGTGGAACTTCTTATGTTCCAGTTTGTGCTCATTTCCTCTTGTCCTATCCCTGGGCACCACTGAAAAAAGACCAGCCCCATCCTCCTGACACCCACCCTTTAAGTATTTATAAGCATTGATCAGAGAAAAATGTGTGGAGGAGAAACCTAGGGTAGGGAAAGGGGGAAGAAGGGTAAAAACCAGGCAGCTGCAAATAGAGGTTGTAAAAAATAAGCTTGGTATTCCTCTGAAGCTGGGACACCCTTAAGAGTGGCAGATTCAATATACACTGTCCTTAGCACACTCTCATCTGCCTTAATTAATGCTGTGAGTGCATCAACCGACACATTCGAGGAGAAGAATATTAAGGGACTGAAAACAGCCCCACCGCTAAGACTTGGAGCACAGTTCAGGAGATGATTTCTATCATCTTTGCACGTGTCCCTGTTGCCACCATGCAGTGGAGCTTCATCAGTCTTTTGCAAAGTGGACCTCAGCCCCCACCCCATGTCACGGTTCAGACTGGGTCGTGCCATTGGTGTGACAGTCAGCTCATCCTTCAAGCCCTATGCCGGGAAGCAGAGGCTGCTGGAAGGTAGGGTGTCTCCTGCTGGAATTTGCTGTCCTTCATCTATCCCCTTTTCTTGGGGGAGCTCTTCTCTGACCAGGACAGAGCAGGGAGGTGGGGACAGAAAGAAGAGCTCTGAGGAGGATGAAGGTGGGAGGAAGGCAGTGTGCTGCCTTGCTCCAGGTCCAGCCTTGAAGGCTGCTCTCCCAGGAGATGGAGAAGTTTGGGATCTGGATGAAAGAGCCAGGAGAGCGCAGAGGAGCAGTAAACTGAGGGCAGCCAACCCAGTAACAAATACACTGGGTAGCAGCATCAGGACTGGAAGGAAATTATGCTAAGAATTTGCATTATTTGGCCAACCCAACATATGCAAATAGATCCTCAACACTTGCCAGTCTGACCACTGCTCATGAACAATCCAAACAGGTCCTGCTCCCAAAGATGCACCACCAAGAGTAAGCCCCACATTGCTCCAGGCACTCTCTTGATGACAGGGTGTGCACCACAACCCTGGATCGTGGCTGCTTTAGGAAGCTTAACTCCATTCTGCAACAGGTTTTGCTGGAATCCCAGGTGACACATGGATGGATCAAAAACTCAGCTGTCAATATACTGAGCTTCATGTTAGTGCTGCAGATAAACAGAAGGCAAGGCACGGATAGGAAGTGCTTCCGAACTTAACCTCTGTCCTAAATGTGATTCCCTTTAAAACTCAGTGGCAAAACTCCCAATGATTTAAGTAAAGATGTACCTGAGCAGGTTTACATACTCCATTTGTGGCAGCTGCTAGACTGGAGTGCATTCCTGTTCTCGTGGTCAGTGGTTCCATGTTCTGCTCAGAGTAGTTAGTCACTCCCTTTGGGAGCTACAACAAAACATAGGCTGCTCACAAAAAAAGGGACAAACAAGATGAGGAACTCAAAAAACCCCCTCTCATATTACTAAACTATTTTGTGTAGTCCAAGGTGAGCGGACAGGCACCATGAAGGGACAACCAGCAGCAGCAGTGACAGCACCCAGCCCTTCACTGCCAACAAAACCAGACCTTTGGCTCCTGAGCTATAGGAAAACCCTTAGTCATAAGTAAACAGAAAGTTAATAAAAGTTCCTCGAATCAAATTCAAGTGAGGGGGAAGGGAAAGAAAGGAAAAAAAAAACCATAATCAACTAGAGTAACAGTTTTATTATTGGAGGCCTAATTATAACTGCACTGAAAGGTCTATTTTTATCTCAGATACATGCTGCAATTGCCTTCACCATCCAAACTGAAACAGGAATCCCAATAAATCTTCACCTGCTTCAAAACTCGGGTAAGACTCCCATTGAAAAGATAGAGCAGAACAACAGGCAGTATTTAAATTTGGCACCAACCTGTTTGTAACCTAGATATTTCTTCCACTGTATGTGTTTGGCAGCATCTTATGTAAAGGTGGCTTTCATACCTGAAAAAAAACCCAACAAACCAAAAAGAATATGTAGTTAGTGATTTTGCTGTTGTGATTTAAGAGTCTGAGAACTAAAATGCTTTTATATATATTATACATACATAATAGATGTTTACTTATATACATATGAGCATTTTTAAACAAGGAGAGCCTCAAAAACTAATCTCTTTGTAAATTGAATGCAGTTATTCCTTTTCACTCACTGTTTCTTTGCTAATCTTGCTAACGGTACTGGTGATGCCCAGTAATACTGGCCTGTGCAGTAACTCCCGTCTCACTGGGCCACCCAGTTATATCTCACCCCAAAATGATTCAGGACCTGGGCAGGGAGGGGTGGGTGGGTGAAGTGGCTGCCCCTTAGTCGTACCCTGGCACTAATACAGCCCACGATCAAACTCCAGTCCAACAAAAGATGGATTTTGGGCGCTGCTGGCACCTCTCTGGGCTACGGCGCTGAGAACCACGTGGTGACCTCAGTGGCACAACTGCTGGCTGTGCCATGAGCCGTGCTCCCCAAAACCAGAGGTGTGTGAAAAACCCTAGCCTTCGCATCTTATTCTGATTTTTATCTGGGGAAAAAAGAAAAAGAAAAAAAAGAAAAAAAAAAGAAAGCAGACTGAATCTCGTGAACATAGGGAAAGAAACGAGGGAGAGATTTTTTTCAATAAGAATTTTCATAAGAAAAATGCCACTGATGGTGGCATTCATCTTTTTATTAAAAGGAATGGCATTTAAGAGGGGCTACGTCTTTGCAAAAAGTATTTTTACAGCCATGTCTGTCAGTTTCCCAAATATTATAGACCATTTTTACACAGATGTTTTGCATTTGGCTTTTAGTTTTAATGTTTTCTGTTCATTAAATCACCAAACTAATAAAAACTAAACGATGGAGATTTCTCCAGCAGTACAGAAACAGTCTTAATGCACAGTGTTAGAATTTAATAAGCACCTCAATTGACTATTAAAATCCACATTATGATCAGAACTGTAATTCCAAAAATGAGGTCTTCTGAAAGCTTAATTTACTGTGGTGGGAAGTGGCAGCTGCTCCAACTCAGCAAAATTAGCTTTTTTAACTTAGATGCCAGGGAAAACAGATGTAGATGAGACGATAACAAGAACAACAACAAAATCTACCAGCAACAAGCAGGTTCATTTCTCTTCACCAGAAGATTCAAGAAGGGCTTCTGCAGATACATCAGCAGCAAAAGGGAGGCGAAGGTAAATGTGGACCCAATGGAGAACGGAATAGGGGGACCTGGTGACAAAGGACATGGAAAAGGTCAAGGGACTCGATGTCTTCTCTGCCTTGGCTTTGCTGGCATGGTCTATTCTTGGCTCCCCTGTGTGGAGCAGTGGGGTCTGGGGTCACAAAGCATCACCCACGCTGCAGAAGACTGATCTGGAGACCACTGAAGCAAACCAGGCATTTTCAAGTCCATGGGACCACGTGGGATTTATCTGAGGGAGCCAATGTGACTGCAAAGCTGCTCATTTCCTGTGCCAGGGGAAGTTCCTGAGGAATGGAAACAGGGCAACGAAACTAGTGAAGGGCCTGGAAGACAAATCATATGAAGAACGGCTGAGGGAGCTGGGGCTGTTTAGTATGAGGAAGAGGAGGCTGAGGGGAGACCTCATCACTCTCTACAACTACTTGAAAGGACACTGTAGAGAGGTTGGTGCTAGTCTCTTCTCACAGGTAATTAGTGACAGAACAAGAAGGAACGGCTTCAAGCTCCAACAGAGTAGGTTTAGACTGAACATTAGGAAGAGTGGTCAGGCATTGGAATAGGCTGCCCAGGGAGGTGGTTGAGTCACCATCCCTAGATGTGTTTAAGGGACGTTTAGATGGGGTACTGAGGGATATGGTGTAGGGGAGGACTTTGTAGAGTAGGGTAGATGGTTGGACTCGATGATCCCAAGGGTCTCTTCCAACCTCAATGATTCTATGATTCTTGGGACAGGCAGGTTGCAATGCTGCAGCTCAGAGGGACCTCAGCAGGATGGCAGGAACCCCTGGAAGTTCAGCAAAGTCAGAGTACCCAGCAGAGAGTAAACCCTTGCTGCTGGGACAAGTTGAATATGAGGGAGCAGCCTGCGCCTGCAATGAAAAGGGGTGGCTGCATTGGGAAGAATGCGGCCAGAGGGTCAAAGGAAGTGGTTCTTCCCCTCTATGGGGCAGTTTGTGAGGTTCCATCTGGATGCTGTGTCTAGTTTTGGGCTCCCCAGAAAGACACTGACATCCTGGAGCAAGTCCAGTGGAGAGCCACCAAAATGAGCGGGCCGAAGAACGGAATGCATAAGGAAAGGCTGAGAAAACAGCTCAGCTTGAAGAAGAGAAGACTCCAGGGAGATCCTAAAGCTGCCTGCAAGTACCTAATGGGGGGAGACAGAGAAGACA